AATTTGATATACCAGCACCACAGAGAGAGGTGCTGCAGCCTCAGAACCCATTTTTGCCTCTCACATATGTGGAAGACGGGAAGTCCCAACAGGTTTCTGAACCTTTGATGGGCAATGTGGTGCACCCTGCCCCATATTCATTGCATTTACCAGCCATGGTTAATGATGCTAATTATCAATACAGTTTCCCTGATTTAGGGGGATTGCAATTCCCTAACCCATTTTTATCATCATCAGAGATATCAGATGACAGGTCTGGACATAATCACTTTGCTTTAGAAGGAGAAAAAGTTCAGTCTAGTACAAATCCATTCACGGTACCACATACTGAATGTACAACTTTTAGACATGAGCCTGAATCTTCTGGTGGAGCAATTATCCTACCTCTGCAGCAGTTAACACCGGAAACAGATTTGGAGTCTAAGGTACTTGAACATTCATTGAAAAATTCAGAATGGGAACACGGAAAACCCCCTCCCACATCTGTGACAGCACCAACAATGGTAGATGAGCAGCCTCAGCATAGTTTGACAACATCAGAGGGAGAAATGACATGGTCTTCAAATAATTCTGCTGCAATGTCAGACTATGAAGTTGGAAGGTCCAATGGAATTCCAGTTAGTAAGCTCCCTCGTCCAAGAAATCCCCTGATTGATGCCGTTACTGCTCATGGCCAAAGCAAGGTAAATGATTATCATTTTATGGTGTCTATCTTTCAGAATATGCTCTACAACATACCTTTGTAACATGTTGACATTTTGCAGTTGAGAAAGGTAACTGAACGAATTCGGCCTGAGGTTGAACCTAAAGTAGATGAAAGAGATTCATTGTTGCAACAGATAAGAACTAAGGTTAGAGCTGCCAATTTTTGTTGTATTTTTGCTTTTGCATCACCCACCTTTTCTCGGTCCGGGTTCTATCTATTTTCAAGTAGGAAATTATTGAGTGAATATTTTCTTGCCTTAGTCCTTCAACTTGAAGCCTGCATCCGTGACAAGACAAACAGTGACAAGACCCAGCGTTCAGGGTCCGACAACCAACTTGAGGGTTGCTGCCATTTTAGAGAAAGCAAATGCGATTCGCCAGGTCTCTATCTATTTATCTCTCTCTCTCTCTCTCTCTCAATATTTCCTTGTCAGTTAATAAATTTAATACCATGAGAATTTTGTTACAGGCATTGACAGGAAGCGATGAAGATGATGACGATAGTTGGAGTGATTCTTAAAGGGAATTATTCTACTATATCTCTTCACCAGTGCCGTTAATGGCTTTGAGTGGTGGTGGATGCTCTTTCTTACAGAAATCTGGAGTTTTCTGTAGTTTGGTGTATTCTCCTCTTTACTCAAGATTCATATGTATTATACGACCCCCATTCTCTTTTTCTCTCTCCTTCCCCCCATGAAAATCTATTTGTTGAAACGTCGCTCAGCTCTATCGACAGAAATCTAGTGTGAGGCAAATGCTTTATGCAAGAATGACAGCTGCGGCGCAGCGTGCAAGCGCAGAATCTACTTCCGCTTATAATCATTTTTAAGATATTGGCAGGTGTAAATTGTTGGAGTGATATAAATGTAGTATGTAGTGAAATTTTGTAATCCTGTATGTAATGGTTCTTACAATGCATATATATATGTATCCATATACTCCATTTTCTGGCTCATATTTCAGTGGCCATTGTTTTTCTGTTCATATGGTTTTGTCGACGTGTGGAACTTCTTCAAGAGTACAAATATTTAGATTCAGTGTTTTTCATTCTTCCACGGCCTCTCGGTTTACCTATTCTTTCAAATGTTCGTCTGCAACTTAAAATTCAGGAGAAATATAGCGAGAAAGAAATTTTAGATTGATGCTACTGTCACCTTTATTTTTTTACCCCTCAATTTTGCCAATAAGAAAAACACATTTTATTTAAGTCACTCATCAATTAAAAGAAATACTCATAACCTAATATTTCCTAAAAAATTCTCCCTCGTTAAAAAGTACATGTTAATTAAATTTTTTTAATTATTTTTAAAGTAATTTTAAACAGACTTTTAGATTTGTAATATAATAATAAGATATTACAAGTGGTGGGATAATAAGAGCATATATAACACGGCTGCCATAACATAACAGCAAGACGACCGCAGAGTCGTTGCTCTCCAAAGTATGCTCCACAGTTGAAACCTGGTTATGACAGTCTTGCCCAACAGAGCCTCCCCTGTACTTTCCAAAGCTTTGGAGACCAAGCAATGCCTTCTTCAAGGTTTCAACTCCTTCAAGCACCTCAAGCATGCCCACGCTCGGCTTCTCCGCCTTGGTCTCGACCAAGACAACTATCTTCTCAACGTGGTCTTGCGCTCCGGCTTCGATTTTGGGCACGCCAGCTACTCTCGCCTCGTCTTCCGCCAAACTACGCAACCCAATGTATTTCTTTGGAATACCATGATTCGTGGCCTGGTTTCCGACGATTGCTTCGACGATGCTATCGAATTCTTTAGTTCTATGCGAACAGAGGGGATCTTGCCCAATAGCTTCACCTTCCCTTTTGTTTTGAAAGCTTGTGCTAGGCGTTCGGATTTTCAATTGGGTTTGAACATTCATACCCTTGTGGTGAAAACGGGGTTCGATTTTGATGTTTATGTTAAAACTAGTTTGCTGTGCTTGTATGCAAAGTGCGGCTGTTTGGAACTTGCCCATAAGGTTTTCGATGATATTCCCGACAAGAATGTGGTTTCTTGGACTGCCATCATTTGTGGGTACATTGGAGCTGGTCAATATAGAGAAGCTATTGATACGTTTCGCAGGTTGCTGGAGATGGGTTTGAGGCCTGATAGTTTTAGCCTTGTTCGGGTTTTATCCGCGTGCTGCAAGTTAGGAGATTTAAGCAGTGGGGAGTGGATAGATAGATACATAACTGAGATTGGCATGGGAAAGAATGTGTTTGTGGCCACGTCTTTAGTTGATTTGTATGCCAAGTGTGGACAGATGGAAAAGGCGCAGGGTATCTTCGATGGAATGCTTGAGAAGGATATAGTATCTTGGAGTAGTATGATTCAGGGATATGCATCAAATGGACTTCCAAAAGAAGCCATAGACCTCTTCTTTCAAATGCAGAAGGAAAATTTGAAACCTGATTGTTATGCCATGGTTGGGGTGCTTTCTGCTTGTGCAAGATTAGGAGCCCTGGAACTAGGGGAGTGGGCTAGCAATTTGATGGATAAACATGAATTTTTTGTGAACCCTGTTCTTGGTACAGCTCTGATTGACATGTATGCCAAATGTGGGTGCATGATTCAAGCTTGGGAAGTCTTTAAAGGGATGAAGAAAAGAGACCATGTGGTTTGGAATGCTGCAATGTCTGGGCTTGCCATGAATGGACATGTCAAAACTGTGTTTGGACTCTTCGGACAAGTTGAGAAAAATGGAATTCGACCTGATGGGAACACATTCATGGGGCTGCTTTGTGGGTGTTCTCATGCTGGTCTCGTTGACGAGGGTCGTAGGTATTTCAACAACATGACTAGTGCCTTTTCTTTGGCTCCTACAATTGAGCATTATGGATGCATGGTGGATCTTCTTAGTCGTGCTGGCTTGTTGGATGAAGCTTATAACCTAATCAAAACTATGCCGATGAAGGCTAATTCAGTCGTTTGGGGAGCGTTGTTGGGTGGATGCAGGCTACATCGGCAAACCCAATTGGCTGAACTCGTACTGAAACAACTCATTGAGCTAGAACCATGGAACTCAGCACACTATGTTCTCCTGTCAAATATTTACTCTGCAAGCCATAAATGGGATGAGGCAGCAGACACTAGGTCAAGAATGAATGAACAAGGGATGAAGAAAATCCCTGGTTGTAGTTGGATCGAAGTAAAGGGGGTTGTTCACGAATTCCTTGTCGGAGACAAGTCCCATGCATTGTCAGAGAAGATATACGCAAAGCTCGACGAGTTGGCTAAGGAACTGAAAGCAGTAGGTTATGTTCCAACCACAGACTTTGTGTTGTTTGACATAGAAGAGGAGGAGAAGGAGCACTTCCTTGGTTGTCACAGTGAGAAGCTGGCAATTGCATTTGGTCTCATAAGCACTGCTCCTAAAGATACAATTCGAGTTGTGAAGAACCTTCGTGTATGCGGCGATTGCCATGAGGCTATCAAGCTCATCTCAAAGATTACAGAGAGACAGATCATTGTCCGGGATAACAACCGATTTCATTGTTTCATTGATGGTTCTTGTTCATGTAAAGATTATTGGTGAAGTTTGATTAAAAAAACCCAATTTTGATACCAGCCCTTTGGTGCCAATAATCTCAAAGATGATTAACATGTCTACTTGTATGCTTAACCAGTGTGAAGTGCCGTCCTAATTTAACCCACGCCTGCTATCAATCAGAGGTTAAATCAAACTCAAAATCCGATATTTGGGTTGCTAATGAGAACTTAAACTACAAAAAGACTAAACATTCAATGTCACACGTCATGGAAGTTGACAGCTGAGGGGCCACACATGACAATGGAAACGCTGCTATTAGCACAGCGTTTTCTTATTAGTGATGAATGATGGTGATAAGATCAAAAATCAAATAGCGCCAGAACCACCACATCTATATAATAAAGACATCACCCAAAGGAAAAGTCTTTGAAAACAAAACAAAGACCACTCCAAGTCAGCCAGAAACGACGTCGGTCTACTAAGACAAGGCAACGATATAATCGGATGTCATTTTCTCTCCCCTCTTCTGGCTTAACACACTCTCGCGCAGTCACGAATGGTTGTGTCCTCTGAAAGCTGCGTTGCAATTTCCGCTCCACTTTCTTAAAACAGTTTTTCTCAGTAACCAAACAGAGATAACATGCCATACAGATAATATACACTACTCACTATCCAAAAAAAAAAAAAAAAAAAAAAAAAAAAAAAAAAAGGTTAAGCAAATTCAAAAAAAACTAAAGCCCAAACTAACTTCCAATATTTATAATATGTTTTTAAATTACAAGTTTTTCTTTGTTTGCAATTTTTATATGGGAAAGTCGCTTCCCTCGACGGCCAGGCTGTACCAAGTCGCCAAAACGACGTCGCAGAGTCTGATAACTCCAAAGCATCCGAGGTCCGCATCGCCGAACCCAGAAATAGGCCAAAAGTCGAAGAGGCCGCGGTTGAAGGAGATGGAGACTGAGAGCAGCTCAAAGAAGGAGACCAACCACCGTCTGCCGCTTTCGGAGGTCGTATCGGATTGCATAAAGCGGTGGTTCAAAGACACGCTTAAAGAGGCCAAAGCCGGAGATATTAACATGCAGGTCTTGGTGGGTCAGATGTATTATAACGGTTATGGTGTTCCCAGAGATGCCCATATGGTATGCTTTTTTGGGTTTGTTTTAATTTCTCGGATTTTGTTGGTTTCTCGGTGGGGTTTGGGGTTTAGGCTTAAAGTTATGAGCTTTTAGTTTTCTGATCTTGCTTTCATGCTCTTATCCTAATCAGATTAGATAGAGTTGTAAGCGTTTTGTTTTGATCTTGTTATGCTAAAGTTGCAAGCTTGTGTTTGGTATCATCTTGACCATATAGTTTTTGTTGGCCAAGTAAGCACCAAAGGCATTACAAATTGGAGTTTGAAAGTTTAGAATATGGATTACAAAAATTATATGGTTGTATTACAAAGGTTTAGAATATTGGTTGCAAATTGGACTTGTCACCCATAATTAAAGCTTTAGTTGTGATTGAATTGTGATTTGTACTTCTACTAATAATTTTTGGTCTTTGTGAATGCAGGGAAGAATATGGATTACAAGAGCGTCAAGGACGCGATCTTCAGTTTGGAAAGTTAGTGATAAGCAGCCAGGTTGACTTCTCTCTTTGCATTTACCATTGTCTCAATCATCATTTCCATTATTGAATGTGCCTCTGTTTGGTCTTCTGCACCTGTGGCAGGTTATAATGCAAGTGATTCAGATTCAGATGAATTGAAGGGTGATTCTTAGCTGGACCGTGTCCGCCTTCATGTCCAATTAAAGTTTGAGCTGGTATATTCTTGGCCTTCTGCTTCATCCTGAAAATTGAATAATATACCATCCAGAAAGAACTAACAATGAGTATGTGATCCAGCATGTCAAAAATTTCAAAAAATTTATAAATCCTATGAACTCTGAAGATGCTGGATTTGTTTCCTTTAACTGGGTCTGCACTTTATATGCTTTCTTTGCCTTCGTTTGTTTGGAAAGCTCCATTTTGTGAGTATGTGTATAATTGATCTTACTTGATAGTTGGTATTTTAATTTTGATCGACACACCATATCTTATTCATTGTTGTTTTTCTGCATTATTACTGTTGATACATACATAATATTGTTTGTTATCCTAGATTTTCAAGCATGGAATTTGCCTTTTCTTTCTCGAGTCTTTTGGGAGTGGAAATAATAAACATATATGATAGAGGGGGAGGGAAAGGGGGAGGATTGATGTCTGCTGTTTTATTGGACGTAGCTTTGTTTTTCCTTCCTCCATACTTCCCTCCCCTTCTAGCCATCAAGAGGAGGGAGAATCGCATATTTCCTGCCCTTTATCCTTCATGATTTACCCTTGACTTCCTTCTACTTCTCCATCTTCCCGAATTTCTCTTCAACCACTCAGAGGAGTGCCAGATGACATAATATGAGTGATGAAATAGCTGTGCCCTTTCAAAATCCCTTATTGTCGACTTAATATTGATAATGAGTTTATGTTGTCTAGGCTTTTCATTTATTTGCCCCTGGTAAAATTTGTTCGATTTAATCTGTTCAAATGGAATCCTGAAGAAGAGAGAAGTTCAAACTATGCAGTAAGAAAGAACTTTCAAGCTCTGTATGCTAAATATGTGTGTGTGGGGATTGATGTTTGTGTTATCTGTCTCACAGAAGATTTGCAATAATCTTTTTACTGCCTGTTTACTGATAGATAGTTTAGCATCATGTTTGTATCTGCATAGAAAACTTGAAATGGATTCAGCACTGCCATCCTTCTTCCCCCCACCACTTATGGCTGTTCATTGATAATCCTCATGAGACTGGGTACATGAAACCGTATAGGAACCATTCCTATGGTGCACGTGCTGGGCCGCCAATGAGTGGCAAGAAAAGCCTAGAATGATAAATGAATTTCATTTCAACTCAAGACATAACTGTAATGCTTTGCCAAATAATAGATGGCAAGAAGTAATGCTGTCTTTCTTCAACTTAGCTTATTCGGATAAATTGATCTAATTTCGTGCTTCCCGTGGCAGGATGTGCTTGGAAACGTGCCCGACCTCAGTCATTGATGTGCCTGTATCAAGTCTTTATACTTCTGTTTCCTTGTCGTCTTTTTCTTCTTGGACCTATCAATGTACCTAAACCTTTATTTTCATGGTAAAACAAGTATTTGTTAATTGCACTTTCATCTCCCAAAGTTCCTTCGAGTTATTGTGAAGAACTGCCAACACATACTTACATTAAGGGCTCATTTGGTACGTCGGACTGTTTTGACTAATTTATGTTGGATAATATTAATCTGTTGAGGAGAGGACTGACTATTTATCTATAAGATTATAAGGTGTTTGGTACTGTTTTGGATAAATAGTCTGATTAAGTTATACTGTGTTTGGTGCTCCGTCAAATTATTATTTTTATAATTTTTTGGCAAGATTCATATGCCTTTTTTTTTTGGTTGCCAAGATCTATAAGACAAGATTACATGAACCAACCCATTATCATAACTGTAGAACTTAGGATTATAAGTTACATAGTATATAAGCACACCTTTATTGATGGAAAAAATAAAAATCACATCTTGATATAACAAACTTCTTTTCTTGATATATATATATCACATACAAGACATGAAGCATGATAGGAAATTCAAAAATTAGAAAAACTGAGCCCAATTGATAGGAAGCACCACCACCCTATTCATCCTCCTAAGGGCTTAGATAAGGCCCTCACTCATGAGGAACTTTTATTGCAATTTCTAAGTTGACAGTGAAAAAAAAAATATTATTCCGCTGCAGCGGATTCTATTTAGTGTAGGAAAAATAGCTATATATTTTGGTGCTGTGGGGATAGGGCTTCACCTAAAGGTCATATATAAAACCCTCGTTATAGAATTCTTGCTCTTGTCATGGTACTATTTGATAAACAAATATTGAACATGCTACTTATTGCCAAAATAAAACATGGGAGTTGTTGTGGTTGTCAAGCATGAGTCAGCTAAGTGACAGGAAGATGTGTTTATTTATTCACTGGAAAGCACCTTGTGACTCTAATTACTCACAAAATTACAAAAGTATTAGGTAAACGCCTTTGAAAAGTCTATATTTATGGTTTAGCATCCAATACACTTCGATAACTGCTGAGTTAGCATAAACATTTATTATTATTATTAATTATGATTGTCTTCTTAATTTGTTTTTGAACTTTGTCCATTTGTATTTGCATCTTTGACTTCTTAAGCTGCTTGGATAAACATTGCAAAGCATATGCTGACGATTCTTTTAGTCGTTTTCGATACTTCCGGAGAAGGTCATGTGTATTGTTGGGTGCATTAACTAAACACATGAATATATTACCCAATTTCAGTGCCAAAACCACGCGACGAAAAGAAACATTACTTGAGAGCCAAGGCATCGGCATGATGTGAATACAGTTTTATCAAGACATAGGTCTCATGAAGATCTGACTTTTCATGTAATGTTTGTTTAAGGTGGAGCCAAAAACCAACTAGGACCCTCTTTTGTTTGTTTCCCATCTGGATGTACATGTAGACACGCATGTGACGGTTTCAAATTCTCTTAATTGCGCTTAACTTGTCTAATCAATCATATAATCAATGTTTACCAGTGCAATTTATCGTCGACATTGTTCAATTTTGGGTTCCCATTTTCAACCGTGATAGAAAAGTTAAATTTTACGTCACATTACATATTTTGTGACAAGTGATAGTTATTTATTAATTAACGATACGATTGTTGTAATGCAGACTTTGCCACGTAACATAACGTGGTCTACAATTACGATCCTTCTTCTAATTGGATTTTTTAATTGGTGGAAAAGTGGGAAAAAAAAAGGTGGGTAGCGTCACGTGGCATAATATAAGGTTTAGATAGGGCTTCTGAGCCGCACTGGATAGACACCCAATTTTATATTCCTTCTGAACAGATCAAAACCAACTGGAGATTTACAGCGAAGTGAGTAATTAGTATCTTTGTTGTATCAGTAACTAGAGTCCTTCAGTATTGCACCACGTAACAACAAATATTCACACCGTTTTGAATATATGCACGTTTGGTATTTGATATTTTCTAGATGCTGATCCAATTACTACATCATCATCATCATAATTATCTCAAATTTTGAGAGCAATTATGGTATGATGTGATGGCATCATAATGCTCATCATCATGCATGATGCATCACCGTCACCTGTGAAATCGTCTTCATTTCTGGACCACCATAAAAACTGAAATCAGAGTCTGCTGTTGTTGTTCAAACAAGCTACAATAAGGGTGAGAAGCTGAAATGAAGCAGGAACTGAGAGAGCCCCTTCTAGCCCAAGTGCAAGAAGAGCCTTCTAATTCTCAATATGATCCTCTTCCTTCTCATCTTATCAGATATTTATACGTAGGACACTTTTTGGCCAGATGGGGTACCAGGTTCACTGCTTTTCTCATCTCTCACTACTTAGTTTAGTGGTTTATTAGTGCTGTCAAGGTTTTTCCCCAACTAGAATTTGGGCTGTCTTCATTGTGTCAAAGGATGTGTACATATACATTGAAATTAATATTTTTTTCTTCATACTTCGCTGCTGAAATTTGTTTCGAACTTAAGCAACTACTAGGAAAATCAGTAAATTAAATTACAGAAACCAAGTTGAAGATTTTGAGCATGCTAATTAGTGCTATCACAAGAAATGTTTTCAAGGAAGAAATAAGCAAATTAAATTACAGAAACTAAGTCAAATTATCACCTTCTTCTTCTTATTTTTCTGCATCTGTAGGCAGAAATTGTGCTCATGGAAGTAACAAGTTCCCTATAGATCAACCTATCATCTGTTTAAGACACTTATAATTTGACTTCTATTTGTGATTGTGCCTCCTCCATGTGATATTTAATTTGATTACTCTGATTGTTATGATCAATTTCGCCTGTAACTTTGTACAAGGAAGACAAGAAAAGGCTCCTTGTTTTGTTTTGAGTATTAATTTCCATTGAATTTTCCCTGTTTTACAGAATGTGGGAATTCTCTGTTGGTCTTTACATGATAAGCATTTGGCCAGATTCTCTACTCTTTGCTGCTATCTATGGTGCAGTGGAATCAGCCTCTACCGCCCTTTTTGGACCCTTAATTGGACACTGGGTGGATAGATTTCCATATGTAAAGGTAGGCTAACTTATGAAACTTACAAGAAAAGAGAGACACAGAGAGATAAGAATTGTAAAATTATGTTACATGATCTTACAACTCTATATAATATGGACAGGTTCTCCGGCTTTGGTTGGTAACACAGAACCTCTCTTTTATGATTGCTGGAGGCACCGTAATGGCATTGCTGGTCTATTCAGATTTGAAGCTCACAAGTTTTAATGCATTCATCTTGCTTGTAATATTAACCAACATCTCAGGAGCTGTTGGAGTTCTTTCCACTCTTGCTGGCACCATCTTAGTCGAAAGAGACTGGTAAATAGATGTCTAATTACTTACAGACTTTCATTACAATGAAATAACATATGATCCTTTAAAAAAGTACTTTTTTGTTCTGTGAAAGCTAATTTTTGATCCACACTTACCACCCTTCTCCAATTTATATTTTTCTGCTTTCAATGTATATGTTTCAACTGCTCTTTCTGCAGGGTGGTGGTAATGTCAGAATGCCATTCTGATCCAGAAGTACTACTGACCAAGATGAATTCAGTCCTTAGGCGTATTGACCTCTTCTGCAAGCTATGTGCTCCTGTGCTAACTGGCTTCATTATCAGCTTTGTATCACTAAAGGCTTCTGCTTTAACTTTAGCCCTCTGGAACACCATATCTATTTGGCTGGAATATTGGCTCTTCATCTCTGTATATAATGGGATTCCGGCTCTAGGCGAAAGCAGCCAGAGGAAGATATCAAGACCTTCAAGGACTGATGTGGAAGAGAGCACATCTACCTCTGATCAGGAAAGAATTAGTTTGCTTTCTCATGATGAAAATGATTCACAACCGGCTGAAGAAAGCTGGATAAAGAGAATAACAGAAGCAGTCTCAAGGATCCCTTATGTTGGAGCATGGAAAGTGTATTTGCAGCAAGATGTTGTACTCCCTGGAGTAGCTCTGGCTTTACTATTTTTCACTGTCCTCAGGTCACAACCTAACTTCTTCTTTTCTTTTTCTTTCAGTTCTTGTGACTTTGGCTTTATATTCTAGCTGTTCTTACCAAATTAATCTGTTATTTGCAGCTTTGGAACATTGATGACAGCTACCCTAGAATGGCAAGGCATACCTGCATATGCTATCGGGATAGCTCGTGGAATAAGTGCTGCAATTGGAATTGCTGCTACAATTGTTTATCCTATCTTGCAATCTCATATTTTAACACTCAGAACCGGGCTCTGGTCTATCTGGTCTCAGGTAAAAAAAACTTCAGCATATACATTAGAACATCAAATTCTTTTTCAAGTGACATTTTTCAAATGCCAATCCCTTTTCATGGGAACTTCGGACCCTCACAGTAGTTTCTGGTGTTTATGTGGTTTGAATATGCAGTGGACCTTCCTCCTCCTATGTGTTGCTTCAATTTGGGTCCATAGTAGCCTTTTATCAGCATATTTGCTGATGGCAGGAGTGGCTACCTCTCGGCTTGGATTGTGGATGTTTGATTTAGCAGTAATCCAACAAATGCAGGTAAGCAGAACAAGATATCTTGTTATAAATCTTCTTTGGGTTTTCTTTGATTTGTGATGAATGTATTTTCAGCATTTGTTAGATGTCTTACAATATATGTAACATATCTTCATTTTGAACAGGATCAAGTACCTGAATTCGATCGTTGTGTAGTGGGAGGTGTTCAAAACTCCCTTCAGTCTGGCATGGATTTGATGGGTTATGTCATGGGAATAATTATATCTAATCCACAGGTAATTTATATACAATTCGTGACTTCCTGTAATTTAGTGGAGAAAAACTAGTTTGTCACGGGTTCATGTAATTTCCATTCTCTCTTGTCATGTGTCAGTCACATGAATAAAAAGATGCAATACATGAATCCGTTTCATGTAAGTTTTTGTCATCTTCTGAATACAATTTTTGTCAATTTCTTCTAATTTGAACTGGTTCCATTTTTGTTTTGCACCTAAAGACCAAAATAGTCCAGTTCATATGTTTGTCAGCGTCCCCATGTTCAAGTTCAACCTTATAAATACATAGTTTGAAAATCCAAGATTCCTTAATATTTGACAAGTCTCTGCACATTCGGATTATCTAAGGTATGGGCCTCTAAGAATTGGACATGCACTAGATCATCCTCGTCATCATAAATGCATGTGACATTTCTCAGTTACAGAATCTTCTGGTTCAAATTATATTATGTTATTAACCCATGTTGTTGTGTTGCATTATTGTTTAGGATTTTTGGAAGTTGAATTTGCTGTCGTTTGCTGCGGTAACATTGGCTGCACTACTCTATACCCTGCACCTTTACCGCATACGAAAACACCTCCTCCATTTTGAGAAATTACCTACGTGGCTTAAATGCTTTACAACATCTTCATAATCGCATTGTTGGGCCTTGCCACATGTTCCATATGTATATTTGATTTTAAAATATATATATATATATATTTTTAGGCTTATTTATGTACATACCCCCTGTGCTTTTAAAGTTATCTTAGATTATCACATGTTCTTTGAAACGTCTCAAAATACCATCTACATTTTTAATAATTGTCTCACGTTATCTATTCCCTCAATATTAAGAGACGTTCCATTACGTGATGGGTTTATTGAGTAATTTGGGGTCTGTGTTGGTCGTGGGTGGAGATTTTTGGGAGAGAAATCTTTTGGAGGCTGTTGTGATGAGTGGATGAGGCTTGGTTGTGGGTTCAAAAGTTGAGAGGATGAAGAGGAGGAGGGTGATGAAGACTAAAAGGGCACATATGAAAATTGTGGATTGGGCTTTGGACATAAGGAGATTATTGGAATTGGTTCGTCTGAAAATTGTGCATGTTTTTTTTTTTATGAAGAAGAAGAAGAGGAAGGAGATGAGGAAGAGGACGACAAAGAAGAGAAAAGCTTGTTACTTTTGTCAACAATGGTTGTGCCGTTGTCTTCTGGAAAGAAGACTAGAAGCAAACCCATACCCGAAGAAGTGGGGGCCACATCACGTAACGGAATGTCTCTTAATATTGACAAAATAGGTAACGTGAGACAGTTATTAAAAGTGTATGTGGTATTTTGAGACGTTTCAAAGAGCATGTGGTAATCTGAGACAACTTTGAAAGCACAAGGGGCATGTACATAAATAAACCTATTTTTTATATATTTTTATAGGCATGTATATGTACTAGGTTTTTTTTTCTCTTCCAATAAGGTGTGACATTACCAAAATGTCATTGGCAATATTTAAATTACTGACCTTGTAAATTATTTTAGCATTGTATTATCTTTATAGCGTGTACTTAGCCATACTCTGTTAGTGAGTGATTCACTTTATATATATTTCTTATAAGAAACTTTTTTGCCATAAAAACCATGCACACAATGAAATCTTTTTTAATCGTGAATAAATTCAAGTCTTTTTTACCCTGTGATTATATTCAGGCCACGAATCTCTTAAGATTCTGCTTTTGTTCTTGATTGACACGTTTGAGTTGTGGATTAACTATTTTGGTTATCCATTGTACATCTTATGATATTTTTTTCAATAAATATCTTTCTCAACCTAATTAAATAAAAAATTAAAAAATCAAGAGTTGTGATTTATGGACAAGGGAAATGGTAAAATGACCTTTTGTTATACATGGTATGCTTTTGAAAAAGGATATTTTGGATACTCAAATTCTCACTTGTGTTGAAGTTCACGTGGAAGTGGCAACTCCACGTTTGAGTTTGACACCAAAAACCCTCAACTTTAAGGTCATATCGTTGGGCCAGTGACCTATTACTTATACGTGGCTGCTACAATAGCCCCGAAGTCCGTAACCCTTTTGGTCATAAAATTTAAGAATCCGGGCAAATTGTCCGTACAGTGACTTTTTCTCAAGGAAGAAATTTCTGAAGACTTGAAGGGAAAGAGACGGTAGGTTTGTTTTGTTTTGTTTTGGGCAACAAGAGAACGTGGAATTAATGCAAGTTGTTCAACCAAAGTGAGAAAAATAAACAGAATCATTAAAATTATGATATGGTAATTCTCTGCTGATGGAGTTAAAATAGGGTTTGTTGCCGTACTATATCTAGAAACTTCATCTTCAAAGCAGTAAAACCAAATTCAATCCCAGGACTCGAAAGCAGACTCCTACGAACGTCCATGCTTTAACTTTTTACTTTCTTTCTTTTATAAAATATAAAAAATAAAAAAATTACCAGCATGTTTTAGTCAGGTAACTTTATGTTATTTGACCGAGTTCTAGAATCTAAATGAAATTATAAAAAATTATCTGTAATCTGCATCATTTACGGAACATAAGGAAAAGCTTAACTTATTCGAAATGAAATTGGTGCCATGAATTGACTGTGAAAATGACGGCAAATTACAACAACGAAATTGCCAAGACAATTCAATCACGTGGCTGGCCTTTGACATTGCGTACAAGTTCTCACCAACTCTTTCCCATGTACTTCCACCTTTGTACAATTATTCGTATCTATCTGTATAGCTCGCCAAAAAAGTACTGGAAGGTACTGTGACAAGCTTAGCCAAAAGTTTTCACATAATGTAAAGATAAAGGTTGATTGAGCACCGGCATTATCAGTGTCATTCAATAGTGCATCAACGGTTCACAATTAATCAGACATTCGTGTCACGATTGATACTAACCCTTGAAACATTTAATTATGAGGAGATTTTAGCTCCACCTCTATGTCGGCGTGCGTGGGTGTGCTGTTCTGTATATTGAAACCAATATTACAAATCCTTGATTTAAATGGGACTGGGATTGTGACTTTTGAGTCTCTCTCTGGCTCCAATCACTCCATCACAGGTAAAGAGGTGGAGAAGGTACCGGGCTGCCGTACTAGGATTTTTATTTTATTTTATATTTTCAAAAGGTTAAAGATTATAGAAAGTGGGTTTGGTTGCATGACAAATATTGTAGATGGGGAAGTGGTGACTTGGTCATATTCATATGGTGCAAAAATGACTACTCAAATCTGCGGAAGCTTGGACTTTGCATATATATATTTTATTATATATTTATTCAATGTTAGAAAAAAGAAAGGGACCTTTGAACATTTCACCACCAAAATCATTCTCAAAAAAATATATCCTAAAAAGTATAATTAGCAGAGTGTAATTTAATTTAAACTCAAATCATTCAGCACCGCAGAGCTTATTTGGTGTTAGAGGAGTTTATTATTATTATTATTAATGTTTAATTTGTTTAATTCACAGGTTGAGCTTTATTTGTGTCCGGTAAGAAAGAGACGCATACCTAAATGACAACTCGATTGCAATGCGTAAACATAAAAATAAATATTATTATGGTTCTAATGGGGAGGTGATTATAAAATATTGTCAACCAGCATTTGTCACTCACGACAATCATTTCATGTACGAACATTGTACAATTTCAAATTCTACAATCATTCCATTTGAATTCGTCCAAGTACATTTTCATTTATGTATTAGGCCCTCCTCCCTCCATCTTTTTAACCCTTTTATTTATTTATTATATTATTTTTGTGATATTTACTTTAAAATAAATAATAAATTAGGTTCTTTTTATCTACAAATTAACCATAAAACTTCTTAATCACTCTTCTCTATGTTGGAATATAAATTATTAACTTTTGAGTCTTTAATAGTGTAGATGAGATTAATATTCAACCATTTTTAAATATGAAATTCAGGACTATAATGATTGTAATGAATGGATAAATCATTAATCAATATGAAATGATATTATAAAGTCGGCTAAACAGTGTAGTTAGTATCATATTAACTTATTAACCAGTTAACGCTCCTATTCGAATTATGTTTTAAAATTTTGTGAAGAGTCATGTCTAATGTGAAATTCTAATTCCGCCGCTATATTAGAAAGTATCCACCTTTAGATGGGTGGATACTCCAATCACTCAATGCTTTTAAAGCTCATCCAACGGTTGATGTTGTCCACGTACCTAACACATAGATGTAACCAAGAAAATCGGAACATTTTAGTGCCTTTTAAAAAATTAATTTTCACATAAAATCTAAAGGCAAGAATAATAAAAATGAATTGATGTAATTATTTATGCTCTTGGCCAGCTCAAGCAGCACATGGGTAGGTTCAGTAGAATCATCCCGCAATAAGATTTTTTCTGAAGCACACAATATTCTTTATAATTTCTTTATTCATAAATTCTTCTTCTCTAGTCACTGCCTTTATTTGTTACGTCTTCTCAAATACTTTCCTCAGATCATATCATAGTTTTGTGCAAAATATCATATCAGGAAAAAATATATATATATATATTATTCTGATATTATCTTGTTCAACATGTGAAGTGCAGATGAGCCGCAAATCATCTGCAAATCCAGGATGAAAGCACTAGCTCAAGGGCATGACTGTAATATACCAAAAAACAGTACGGGTATTTTGGGAACAAAAATAGCCCACATAGCCCTGCATGAGTCACAACCTCCCTGAGACCAATATCTGGAAAAGAAAAGAAAAAATATTTATTTTGTTTTTGAAAATTGACTAGGTTGGGTTTGTAGCTTTTTAAATTTTCTCTCTCCAACCGTTCTTATCTGAGTAAGGCTTGTACTACGTAAACGAGTCTATATAAGTACGGCAATATCTACTCGAATATCTTATTTCCATTTGCGTATTTTTTATTATATATATTTTTCATTTTTATTTTATTTATTTTGTCAGGTTGTTCGTACTGTCTGCACTTGAATCTGTCCTTCCTCACATAGGTCCTCCACCAAATAAGCTGCTTTGAGAGATAAGAAAACGACTTTTTAATACCTAAACTACCCCCGCCTCCCTTCCCTAATTACCGCCCGTCCTTCACTGTCCTTCACGGTACGGAGTCTCATTTGACATCCTAAATGACCGAACTACCCCTTGTTTTCCATATTACCAAATTTCCCCACTTCTTTTGTTTTTTCATCTGATTATCCTGGCTTGGGTGTATTACAATCAAATATTTAAGGAGAAAGTCACAAGCGCCAATCACCATTTGGTGAAATCTTTACTTTTTTTTTCTTTTGTTGAAAAGTTGTTAGTTTAAACCTTATGGAAGAAAAAATCATAAAAATTGAAGCGCTTAACTAGAATGCTTGTTCAGTTACAATTTCAATAATAGATTATTTATATTCTCATTCACAATAAATATATAAAACACTAAGTCATTGCAATTCTAAGCAAAATATATAAACACAAATTCTCTAATCTATTCCACGCTTGAGCTCCTCATTGTAGAACTATCATCCTCCCTACGACTTCTATACCAAAAAAAGAAGTTTATTTCATTGGATTTTATCTTGTTATCTGGGTCATCTTGTAAATACTATTATACTATATGTTGACCCAAACAAAAAAAAAAAAAAAAAAAAAAAAAAAAAACCTATACCTATGGGGATGAAGGGTAAAATAAGTCCTTTCAAACGAAACAAACAAGAAAAGAAAGAGCTATTATGAACGAGAGCACAAGGCCATTAGAGTCATTCAGTTCTTCTTCATCTTCACTCCCCCTCCTCAGCTACCCAACTTACCCAAACCGAAAACCAGATTTTCTGCCAACGGTTACTTCAAAGCCTCAAAAACCATTATTTCTCCATCGTCACCTATAAAAAAATCAAACCTCTTCAACTCTCATTTTCTCATCCAAATCCCAAAAAGTTTCAGACACCTCCAAAACCATGAAGAGGCAAAGAACCATTGTAACATTCAACAGCAACATGAACAACAACAACAACCATCTGTTCCATTTTCTCTCAGAGGAAATCATATTCATAATCCTAGACTTTCTTAACCAAAACCCAATTGACAAAAAGGCTTTCTCTTTAGCCTGCAAATCCTTCTACGCCATAGAAGCCAAGCACCGCAAGAAGCTCAAGCCTTTACGCTCAGAGCACATCCCAAAAGTCCTTAACCGATACCCACATGTCTCCCACATCGATCTCACGCTCTGCCCTCGAATCACAGACACTTCTCTCACCACCATCTCAAATGCGTGCATGTCTAGCCTCCGGTCAATCGATCTTTCAGGGTCCAATTGCTTTTCAGGAACTGGGTTGCTGAGTTTGGCCTTGAATTGCAAGAATCTGGTGGAGATCGACTTGTCAAATGCCACTGAGCTCAGAGACTCTGCGGTTGCGGTTTTGGCTGAAGCAAAGAACTTGGAGAAGCTTTGGTTGGGGAGATGTAAGCAGATCACAGATATGGGTGTTGGGTGTATAGCAGTTGGGTGTAGGAAGCTGAGATTGATTAGCTTGAAATGGTGTCCTGGTGTTGGTGACTTGGGGGTGGGATTGCTTGCTGTCAAGTGTAAAGATATTCGAAGTTTGGATCTCTCTTACTTGCCGGTAAGTGCTTGTTTTTGTTGATTTAATTCATGTTTTTAGTGTTAGCTTTATACCCTGAAAGGTAAATTCTTATTTTCATTGATTTAATTCGTGTTAATTTTATACCCTGAATGGTAATTGTTGTTTTTGTTCGATTTAATCTTGTTTTGCTTTGACAAGCACTCTGCTTTTGTGTTATGTTATTCCAAAGACTGGATCTTTGTCTTGGTCAACTTTAATTTTCTTTTCCAATCTTCAAGTCTCATTGTGTATCAAGATGATCGGTAGGTATGCTTTGATTTTGAGTGGCTTCATAATGATTTGTTTTTCTTGATTCGCAGATCACAGACAAATGCTTACCATCGATCTTCAAGTTACAATATCTTGAAGATTTGGTTCTAGAAGGATGCTTTGGTATCGATGATGACAGCCTTTCAGGCCTCAAACATGGGTGCAAGTCGCTTAAGGTAGTTATTCTTAGCTGGTTCGGTTCAGAGGCCCCTGTTGTTGTCTTAATAATCTTGTATTAATAACATAACATTTGTATAATTATATTGTGGTTGTCATATGTGCTACTAAAAAGTTAAAACCTTCGACTTTTAATATCTTTTCTATGATTACACGAAATGATTTGGTTTGGACAAAATTTATTTGATGCTAGTTGGTATAGACAATAATTAAAAAATAAAAGACCAACAGCCTTTAGATTTTGTAATTCTTGCTTGTTACTTGTCAGAGTGCATTTCTGCTTCTACAAATTTTGACATCTGCACTTGTTTTACTTTTGACAGAAACTTGACATATCAAGTTGTCAGAACATTACTCATGTTGGGTTGTCCTCTCTAACTAGCGGCAGCGGTGGATTTCTAGAGCAAATCATATTGTCACATGGCTCTCCTGTAAGTCCTGACTTTCTTAGTGTTTTTGTAATAGTTATATTGTAATTTCTTAGCTCACAATTTGCACTGTGGTGGCACTGGTGGTCAGGTGACTCTTGCTCTTGCCGATAGTTTGAAAAAGCTTCCAATGTTGCAGTCAATCAAGTTAGATGATTGCCCGGTTACCTATGCTGGACTAAAAGCCATCGGAAACTGGTGTGCGTCGTTAAGGGAGCTGAGCTTAAGTAAATGCGCAGAGGTGAATGATGACAGTCTCTCCTCCCTTCTGACAAAACACAAGGATCTGCGGAAGCTGGACATCACATGTTGCCGAAAGATAACTTATGCTTCTATTGACCACATTACAAATTCATGCACCGCACTCACTTCTCTTAGGATGGAGTCATGTACCCTGGTTCCTAGAGAAGCATTTGTCCTCATTGGACAGAGATGCCAATTTCTTGAGGAGATTGACATAACAGATAATGAAGTAGATGATGAAGGTTTTACCTTACTTAACCTTAGTGTAATTCTTTAAGCACTACTGTAATTTCCATACTTATGTGATTATGTTCCTTCTATTTGCAGGTCTGAAGTCCATCTGTAGATGTTCCAATCTCTCCAGCTTAAAACTAGGAATTTGCCTGAACATTACTGATGAGGGAGTTGCAAACATTGGAATGTGCTGCTCGAAGCTTGTAGAGCTCGATCTATACAGGTTTGTAATTCATGATTTCTGAATGTTTATGATGCAAGGTAACGCGTAGGTCAAGCAAGAGCAACAATAGATTTACAATCTGCTAGAGAAAATGCGGAGTGCTTAATCAAGGTCTTGTTGATTCTAAAGCATGCTAAAACACAGAAAATATAATAGAACTCTCTCTTTCAATATTATTATCTAAAATGGCTGTCTTCAAAAGCCTACATAAATCATGTATATAGGAAACAAATCCCATCCTGTCTACAACCTCTTCTAGGTGTTTGCCTAAATACGTGTTTGTGTAAAAAAAAAATCAGAGACTGATACAAGAAGGAATTAATCTGAATGCGGTTGTTTTGTTCAGGTGCACAGGAATTTCAGATTCAGGCATTTCAACTGTTGCAAGTGGTTGCCCTGGACTCGAGATGATTAATATAGCCTACTGTAAAGACATTACCGATAGTTCATTAATCTCATTGTCAAAATGCTCAAGCTTGAACACCCTTGAAAGCCGAGGATGTCCTCTTATCACATCTTTGGGTCTAGCAGCAATTGCTGTGGGATGCAAGCAGCTGGCCAAGCTGGACATAAAAAAGTGTTCCAGCATTGATGATGCTGGGATGATTCCGCTTGCTCATTTTTCTCAGAACCTTAGACAGGTACTCTCTCTCATTTCTTGCTTTTTCTGGAGCCAAACAGTTCACCGGAGAATGACAGTTTCATTTGACCAGTCCATTCATACTTTCTTGCAGATTAATTTGTCATATAGCTCTGTTACAGATGTGGGGCTGTTATCCTTAGCCAGTATCAGTTGCCTACAGAGCTTAACCATCTTACACTTGAAAGGCTTGAGCCCTAGTGGGCTGGCAGCTGCTTTATTAGCCTGCAGGGGGCTAACAAAAGTAAAGCTCCAGGCAACCTTCAAGACACTGCTACCGCAAGCTCTTTTCGAACATTTAGAAGCACGTGGTTGCGTGTTTCAGTGGAGAGACAAGTTCTTCCGAGTAAGCTTTTAATTTCAAGCTTAATGTAGACATTAAAATTGACAATGGTTGCTTGTTAGTATACTTGATTATCATATTGACTTCAGTTTGTATGATTGACAGGCTGAACTCGACCCTCAGTGTTGGAAAATACAGTTGGAAGATATCATGCAATTGCAATGAGAGTCAATGACCAATGAGTTTTTCCCACAATCCTTCAGGTTGAGATGCTCAGGCTTTTTAAAGCTCCACATTGTGAAGAAGGCCAAGTTCTTGGCATGAGGATGTCTAGTGTTTTTTTCTTCTCTCTCTTGAAACTTTGAGAAACAGGGGATTTGCTATGTAATTTTTAACATATATTTTGACAACATTTGTTACGTATATAATTTCTCGAATGAAAAAGGAAGGGTGGCTTTTATTTTCGAAAAGTTCAAAATCATCTGAGTCCCATTAAAATGAAGCCGTTCTGATCAATATGTTTGGCACAATTCTACATCTCCGTTAATCGTATGAACCATTTTACTGTCCAAAGCAAAAAAACAAAACGGCTGTCCAAAGCAAAAAAAACAAAACAATAAAAGGTCCTGCCGGGAGTCGAACCCAGGTCGCTGGATTCAAAGTCCAGAGTGCTAACCACTACACTACAGAACCTTTTTGTTTGAAATACTCCAATTAATGCTATTTCTGTACCGAACTAAGTTACTTTTTACTACTGTGGAGACCCTCTAAATTATGGTATGCTTCGACAATTAGGGTATTTATACCTTTTATACTGTGGATTTTTTAAAGCTGTATTATCATCCTAAATTTTTTATTTTGCATAATTTTGTAGGTTTTTTTGTGTATATAGATTTGTCTATTAATTGCTTACCCCAATCATTAGTATTACAATCCATTCATCATCATTTTTTTATATATAATATTATATGTTTTCATCAGAAGAACCCAGAATTCAATAACTTAGGAGGGTTTTGTCCAGATTCAAATCCATTATATTCTCCCTTATATCAAGCAAGAACCAAAATCTAATTTGGTGACATCTCATTGTCAATTACCCAAAGAAAATTGAAAAAAATAATAAAATAAACCAACAAAGACAATGTAAAATCTCTGTGTTGGCGTAGGTGGAAGCATGGGAATGGACAATGGAATGGGGCTTTCATTTTATTAGCACATGACATTTCTGTAGCTATAAAAAAAATAATACAAAAATAAAAAAGTTGTCTCAAATTCATTTGAAGTTTCAAACGTTGCAAGCAGGAAATCATAATGTGCAAATAATTACAATGCTACAAATTTCTGATGAAAAAATAAAAAATATATAATTTAATGTATCAATTATCACATTAACGAAGATCCCAGCTGCCTCTTCCGACTACAGAGCTTCTGCATAATGAGCCGCCACTTACGTGCGCACAGGGCAGTCAAAGTCAAACCCACAAGCTTTGACTAGAAAAAAATTTCTTTTTCCACAGTCAAACATCTTTTTAGCTTCTTAGAAAGAGCGTAGAGACCCTCGCAACACACCAAAGCCCTCATCTTCTGTCTGCTTTCTCCTCATCGCCGTGCCTCTCTCTCTTACATTTGTCTCTGTCATTCAACACTTTAAATTGTTCTATAAATTATTCTCTCTTCATCTTCTCAATTTCCTCAATTCAAAAACCATGACTTCCTCTTTCACTCACCTCCTCACAAGTAACATGAACAACATGGACAGCAATATTGACCAGGAAAGAACTAATTGGGGACTTTCAGACTATTCTTCAGACCGTTTAATGGACAGAAATGGCATTGAAATCCCAAAATTCAAGTCACTTCAGCCCCCTTCTCTGCCTATGTCTCCTCCTCCTGTTTCCCCTTCTTCGTACTTAGCTTCCACACCAGCTTTTAGCCCAACTGATTTTTTCAGCTCACCCATGTTCCTATCTTCCTCTAATGTAAGTTATAAACTTATTATGTTGTTGGGTTCTTTCGTTCTTTCGTTTTTGTTTACTGATGGGTTTTTTGTGTTGTGTTGTGTTGTGTTTGTTCTTCAGACTCTTCAATCTCCAACAAGTGGAGCCTTCTCTAGTCAAATCTTTGACTGGATGAGTAATTCTAAAGAAACCCAGCAAGGAATGGAGAGGGAACAGAAAATGTTCTCTGAATTCTCTTTCCAACCAGAAACAAGGCCTGCTGCAACATCATCCTCATCCTTTAACATTCAAGCTTCTTCAAACATGGCTTCAGTGGTAAGACTGAATTAATTCTCTTCATTCTGTTATCTTTACAAGTTAGTTGTGCAGTTGGAAGCCTTATTTTTTGTAATTGTTCTGAGACTTAATCATTCTTATGTGAACAGGAAGAATCGTTGAAAACAGGACAGAAACCATGGGATTTCAACAGAATCTCAAGGCAAGCTGATTCTTTAAAAGAGAAGACAGGAGTTAAGTCTGAATTTGAGCCACTACAGATCATCTTGCCAGAGATTGGCACAAACCAAACAAATATGCAGAGCAATGGACCTAGTGGGGCTCCTAAGCCTGATTCAATACATTGCACGCAATCGTCTCAATTTGTCAGAGAACAAAAATCAGATGATGGGTTCAATTGGAGAAAATATGGGCAGAAACAAGTGAAGGGCAGCGAAAATCCGCGGAGTTATTACAAGTGCACATATCCGAATTGCCCAACAAAGAAAAGGTTGAGAGATCATTGGATGGACATATCACTCAAATTGTATACAAGGGAAGTCACAACCATCCCAAGCCTCAGTCTACAAGAAGATCAACCTCTCAGTCAATTCAGGGTTCTTCATATGGCATTTCTGATCAATCTGTGCCAACAATATCCAATCCGAAAATCGAATCTGTCACGATGCAGGAGGACTCTTCAGCCTCAATTGGAGAGGATGAGTTGAACAAAACTCACCACTAAGTAATTCAGGAGGAGCTGAAGATGAAAATGAGCCTGAGGCCAAAAGATGGTAAGTGCATAGACTTGTGATTTCGATTGTGAATTGTATGTATGTTATTGCCAAAACTGCAGACGATTAAATGTACTTTTTCATATTTTGCAGGAAGGGAGAAAATGCAAACGATCAGCCCTTTTCAGCTGCTGGGAGTAGAATTGTAAAAGAGCCAAGAATTGTAGTGCAGACAACAAGTGAAATAGATATTCTGGATGATGGGTACAGATGGAGGAATATGGACAGAAAGTAGTGAAGGGAAATCCAAATCCAAGGTAACCATCCTATAAATTTGTTTAGCTTTCTTGGGTTTTTGAGTTTAATTACTAGCAAACACTTTTTGAACTTTTCTGATTAACCTAATCAATTGTTTTTCCAATCTGTAGGAGCTACTACAAATGCACATCGGTAGGTTGTCCGGTGAGGAAACATGTGGAGCGAGCTTCACATGATACAAGGGCTGTGATCACCACATACGAAGGGAAACACAACCATGATGTTCCTGCAGCGCGCGGCAGCGGCAGTTATAGCAATGGAAATAGACTTGCTTCTGATAATGGCAGCAACAACAACAGCAATGTGTCCATGGCTGTGAGGCCCTTAGCCTTGCCTAATCATTCGAACTTGAGCTACCTCAGCTCTCTTCAGAATACAAGGCAGCCAACAACAGAAAGGCAATCACCCTATACCCTCAAAATGTTGCAAAGTGAAGGAAGTTATGGATTTCCGGAGTTCTAAAAGCTGACGTGCAAATCAGAATCAAATGTTACACTTTGTGTTTAGGGGTGAAACCAAGACGACAAGATTTAATTAGACTTTAGTTTTTTTTTAATGTATAGTTCCTGAGGAAGTAGTTCCCTAAGGGTTAATTATGTAAAGACTGGCATGTGTTGCATTTGTTTATTTCTTTGAGGATAAGGCCTCTTTCTTTTTGTTCCATGTTATAATTATTCTAGGAAGAACAGAAAATAACAGGTTGAATAAGGGGTTGCTTGAATTTGGAAGAAGTGATTTTTTTCTGCTAAGCTAATAGGTTTCTCATTCTTTGTTTTTTCCCCCTTCCTGTTGGCTTTTCCATGACACAGCAGGTGATTAACACTTGAGATTGCTCAAGTATGTAATTCCAACTTTCTACTTTTCCCAAATGGCTTTTCCAGAGCACTTAACATAAAGAAGAAACAAAAATAAAGCCTTGCAATGTTTGGAAAAGTTTCTGACTCTTCCAATTTTTTTAAACACATGGAGACAATCCAAATCTTTCAACCTCACTCTGAACTGTAGAGTGACTTGGCCAACTTTAGCTTTCTATGCCAAACAATTCATCATCATTTCTATGTTGTTAACTTTGGAAAAAGAAACTCTCTCTGTTTGTTCCACATAATTAAAAACATCAGATATATCCTAACCATGTTTAATCAAATTTCTTAATAGATTGAAAAACCAGATTCTTTGTATTTGACCTTATTTCTTTAGTTGATCAGTTTTCCAATTGGAAGAAGTCTAAGTTCGAACCCCCATCTCCGATTTATCCCCAAAAAAACGAAAAACTGTCAAATAAAACGGCTCACAACAGCAAAAAGTCTTTTGATAATAAAAAGAGAGAGGCACAATCTCTTTCTAAAATTTTCTTATTGGAGAGAAGCAAAGTATCTATTCATGTGTAAAACAAGATACATCTCATTGTCTTATGCACAATAGCCTAATGCCTTCCTTCAAAACCAAACCAAGAATTACATATGGGGCTGTGTACATACACACCTAATTACAGCACATTTCTGCAGCTAGCTGATAAATGAAACTATATCACACACAAAAATAAATAAATAAATGAAAAAAAAATCCTGCAACATGGAAGAATTATTGCCCTCAATATCAATCTATCAGATGTAAGACTGAGATGACAGTTTGTAACCGGAAATGAGAGCCGATAAGGCAAGAGTAACGAAAGCGAGGAAGGCCATGCTAATGGCGGATGCTGAAGAGTCTGTAAATATGTTGTCTTGCCCTTCTCTCATTCTGTTTGTCAACGGAATTGCCGACGACGCTGATGATATCAATAGATATGCCATAATCTGCAGCAAGCAAGCAAATCAACCCACAATTCAAAGTTTGGCCTTTTTGCTTAGCTGGCACTCATATAAGGCCCTCTTACCAATTTCGTCATCCAAAGCTCTACGCTACAAGAACCTTCCTTTTTTTCAATTGCCATAATTGGAAATTTACGCGTATTCATCAGAAAATTCTAATTTCCCAAATAAGTTGATATTCTAAATACATTTTACCAAGAAAAAGAAAAAGATCAAAAATTTAAAACAAAAATTAATTTATTTACCTGATCGCCGATGAAGTCGGCTAAGGCCGACGTCCGGCGCTGAAACAATTCTCTGCCGGTGGAGAGTTGGTGGACATGTCGCGCTGCTTGCACACCGGTGTACAGCGTCGACAGAATCGCTATTGCCAGGACATACCTACAAATATAGATATAAAATATTAATTCCGATTGCACACAATTCAAATAAACACCAAATTATGAAATGAAATGAGGAATTATTACCTGTATTCTTCATATTTATCGAAGTCTTTCCAATCGCCGTGCTTGTTGCTGGCCATGATGATGAAGGCCAGCAGAGAGAAGACCAGAGACAGTCCCCTCAGAGCCAGAGAGCCTCTTCTCACCAAGTCCTCTCTCTTCCATCGCCGCAGGATCCCCGCCACTCCGAACCCCGTGCCCGTAGTCTGAGCATGGCCCGGAGTCTGGTTCTCCACATCAGCAGCCGGTGGAGCCGTCGGCACCACTGGCGGTGGAGTGGATCCTGCGTGCTCTGGATGTTTGGGCGACGTGCCGTTTTGATCTGTCATGATCGTTTTTTCTTTGTGTTCTGTTAGGAATGAATTGGATTTGGAATTTGGAAGAAGGGAAGGTTCTTGAATTGAGTTTGGGAGGACAAAGACGGGGTTGGGGAAATGGGAGCGAAATCAAAGTGACAAGTCAGCGTTTGGTTTTGTCGGCAGTTTCGCGTGCCGTGTGGGTTTCACTTCGCGCGCTCACGCCCGAGTGAACCATTGGCCGTGTGAGTGATTGGAGAACATTGTCATTGGGATCCGACGTGGCAAACAATGATTCGATGAGTCGTATTTAAGGGTGGGGTGTTTTGCATAGGATCCGATAGTTAATTGGTGCACTGTCGGGCGATTGTAACTAACTAACTAACTTCCTGACAGGTTGGCATTTGACTGGAGCTGCAGGCCAGTGATTGTAGATGATTCCACTGATCACAAATGTTTGAAAGTCCGTCCCCTCATCATTGAGAGGAGGCACGTGGAATTTGCTAGTCTTTTGTGGATGTACGAACCGCGACTGTTAGCGTGCATACCAAAGATTTATAGCCGCTTATGTGTTTGTGAACGACTATAAATAGCGTGCACACAGGATTTATGTTCTAAAATTTGAAATGTTTTCATACAAGTTTGGGACTCGATGAATTTACTTGTTGGATTCATTTGATATTAAAGATGACTCATTTTTATCAGAATCTTAGTCATTAACTATAGACAAGGATTTCTCTAACTATAACTTCATGTCAAATGAACAGACTTGCACATTCTAACTATAACTTCTGCTTCGATCGAAAATCAATAGAAACAATATTTTTCTTCTTTCTTTTTCTTTTTATTTTTTGGTTGGATAGCCATTGTTTTATTAATGGTGGTCTACCTATAGTATGGGGGAAGTACAGCGTGGCACCACCAAACACATTGGCAAGCACATGATGTGTTGAGTTGACATATTCAGCTCCTCCTCCAAGCTCCAGCCACCCAAGGAAAATAAAAAAATAAAAGCAGGTTGACATGTTGTTTGTGAGTAAATGGTGTCGTATGATTCTTGTGTCAATGTGGCATGTGGCCCATAAAAACAAATGTAGCCATTTTCAATCTATCAGATGTAGGATTGAGATGACAATTTGTAACCGGAAATGAGAGCCGATAAGGCAAGAGCAACGAAAGCTAGGAAGGCCATGCTAATGGCGGCTGCTGAAGAGTCTGTAAATAAGTCGATTTGTATCTCTCTCTTTCTGTTTGTTATCGGCATTGCCGACGAGGACGACGATAACAACAGATATGCCATAATCTGCAGCAAGCAAAGCAACTCACAAAGAAATCAAAAGTTTGGCCTTTTTGCTTAGCTAACTTAGCTGGCACTCACAAGAACCTTCTTTTTTTTTCTTTTTTTTTGGCATAATTGCATCTTAGATACATTTTACGTACCAAGAATAAGAAAAGGACAAAAACTTAAACTAAATTAACCTGATCGCCGATAAAGTCAGCCAAGGCCGATGTCCGGCGCTGAAACACTTCTCTGCCGGTGAAGAGTTGGTGGACATGTCGCGCTGCTTGCACGCCGCTGTACAGCATCGACAGAATAGCAATTGCCAACACATAGCTACAAATATATATATATATATATATATATAATATTATTAATTCCAAATTCCAATTGTGCACCAAAATTCAAATAAACACCAAATTTATGAATTAATTTGTACCTGTATTCTTCATATTTATTGAAGTCTTCCGAATAGCCTTGCTTGTTGCTGGCCATGATGATGAAAGCCAGAAAAGAGAAGACCGTAGACAGTCCCCTCAAAGCCAGAGAGCCTCTTCTCAACGACTCCTCTTTCTTCCATCGCTGCAGGATCCCCGGCACTCCGAATCCCGTGCCCGTAGTCTGGGCGTGGGCCGGAGTCTGGTTCTCCACGTCAGCAGACGGTGGAGCCGGTGGAGCAATCGGCACCATTGGCGGCGGCGGGGATCCTGCCTGCTCCGGTCTTTTGGGCGACGTGTCGTTTTGACCTGTCATGATCGTTGGTGTGTGTGTGTGTTTTTTTCTAATAAGGCGGGAGATTCGACCGCAAGACCACGTGTTTCTTTTGGAATTGTCTGTAGTCTTTCGAATTAAGTTTGGGAGGAGAGGACAGGGTTAGGGAAATGGGAGCGAAATCAAAGTGACAAGTCAGCGTTTGGTTTTGTGAGTCGTATTTATGGGACTGCGTGGGCTGTTTTGCATGGGATCGGATAGTTCGTTGGCGCACGGCTGGGCGATTGTAACTAACTATATAACTTCCTGCCAGGTTAGCATTATACTGGAGCTGCTGCAGGCCAATGATTGTCGATGATTCCACTGATCACAAATGTTGTGGAATTTGCTAGAGCCGCTTATGTGCTTTGTGAACGACTATTGCTAGCCTGTATACAGTATATAGGGTCATGAGTTATTGAAATCTTGTGATACCCATTTACTGTACAGTCCCCCTCCCCTTCCTACCTATTGCCAAAAAGAAACATGCATAATTTATAGGGGAAGTACATCGCAGGAACACCAAACCCAATGATAAGCGCATGATTTGTTGACATTTTCAGCTCCTCCAAGCTCTACCCACCCAAAGGAAAGGGCAAAAAATAAAGGCAGTTTGTGAGTAAATCTGGCCTGAGGCCCATAAAAACAATGTAGCCACTGAGTATGCCAAGCCCAATTGTGTTGTCTAAGACTCATGGGTTGAGCTACCCAGTTCATAAAATAATGGGCCAGGGCCCACGTAGGTCATTAAGGTCACGTCAAACCAAGATTAGTTAGTAATAATGGTTGTGTGTCCCATTAAGCAAAAATTCCTTTCTCATATGAAGTGGCTTGCATGTTCTCAAAAAAGTGGATTGCATTTGGTATGCTGTTTGTCAAGGGGGTGGCTCCTCATAAATAAACCTGGGCCCTTGGGTTGTGGTGTTTTTCGCAGGTGTTATGCATAATCTACGAATGACTCACAATTACTCATACACACGTAAACGACTAAATTCAACACGAATTGGTTTCTAATACACATCCGACATTATTTATCAGTTGAAATTAAAAGGCCCAGGCCCACCATCCAGACACCAACTCATTTGTAGTCAGACATCTCATCAACACCCGAAAGGGACGAAGATGAAAGGGAACCAATTGCTTATTCGTAGCTGTAGTTTCTAGCTTAAGGTGAATCTGGATAACAACAAGGGCATCAATCACCACTCATGTGTGACACCCGATTTCATCCATGTCGAAATTGCTCATACATGAGAGATGTGACTTTATAGTTATACCCGCCAAAATAAAATGCAGTGCAGAGGTAAATCCCTTTTTGCTCTGAACGAACTGTCACGTTGTATACCTTTGGTATTCTAACAATTTGCCAAAATACAATGACGCCAAGAACAAACAAATCATATTCCCAAACTCAAGTATTTTTAACGGATCTTTCATGGTTTTTGTATTTGAACAAATTCTCCTTTATATAAAAAGGAACGAAAGGACCCAACATATATTACACCACATACAAAGCAGAGCACAGAAAAGGTGTGAAAAACCCCACCTTGCATCTTTCTCCATTTCTTAATTAATTAAGCACAACTTGTAACTGAATCATCTATCTCCCTGGCAGATAATTGGTAAGGTACAAGAGGGCCCTTTGAAATTTTGAATTCATTTGATCTTTCAGAATCATATTCCCAAAACAGGGCCCTTTTTCTTCGATAAATTTAGATGCTTTCATTGTTATTCTCGTTTCTTTTGTTGTTGTCAAAGTTAAAAAAAGGAGAGGGGAAGCTCACACACACAGATACCATATGATTTGAATCCATGACTACTTACTTAGAAGCACACCAAAAATTTGAGTAAATCCAATTTACACCCGATTGGTGTTCGTTAATTCCTGTTTTAACTCTCTTGATTTGGATTGATCATTGAAAAGGGTTTGGAGAGCATTGTAGGGGCCTAGGAGAGGAAGCTCAAGCTGCTATGGTTCGTTGGTACAACTACCAAAGTTCAACGGTATTGTATCACGAGGCAGCTCCGTGCAAAACAACAAAACCGAGTACATAACACACATACATATACAAACGAAAATTGATGCTCGATGCCAAAGTGTGATGTTGACTTCGTTCTTGTTGAAACACGATTCTGAAAATGTTCACATGGGCTCCATCAATTCCTCCGCCAAGTATTGAATTCAAGGACAAAAAATTGAATTGGATTGAATGGACGCTAACTGTGGAAACTGTAATTATCGGATGTAGTTGTGCAAACCAAAGATCATAAAGGCCGTGGTTTATGTGTGATCAATTTTCACTATATTATACTTCCACGCAATAATGATGTCAAAGTGGTGACATTCTAAACTAATCACGTATTAGCACGTGAGAAAGTTAAAATACATGACGATATATGATTGTCTTAAGATAATTCTAGAGTGACATTCTCGAGATAGGTAAGTTTCTCTACTCATGACTTGAAACATTATATTCTTTGTTTAATTATGAATAGAATCACCTCAATGAAAAGAAAAGAAAGGGACATAGAATGATGTTGTGGCCTAGCTGGCTAATAAGATGATAGATGCCTTTCTCTTTGCAATGTATATGAACCCTATCCAAAACTAGAAAGACATATACCTTCTTCTCCAAGCAACATAACTCTCTCTCCTTTTAGTCAAACTCTCTTGGTAATTCTACAACTTGTTGTAAAAAAAACAACTCACACGTATTGTCCAATGATAAAAGAAAAAGCTCCAAAGTACTTAAACATGCTAATTATTTACAATAATTAGTTGGAAAAAGGGGTTTAATTGATGATGTTGATGATAAGGATGTAAATTTACTAGGATGTGCTCGCATACATATGATAACTTGATAAGGAAGTGTCATGTCAGGAGGAGCTAAAGCAAGGAGTCAATAAGGGCGTTGAATCCGGCGTCGTTTACAACTGCACTTAGATATCCCGGGACATGTGGACCTCCTCGATCTTTGTTCTTTTGGCTCTTTCTTTCTTGCATTGTCTCACAGCCACTCTACAACACTGAGCTTACATCTTCTTTCTCTCAGCGACGCCACCAGAAACGGTGCCGTAGGAATCCTCCAGTCACCCATGTCTCACGCTAATACATCAACACCAAGCCAACTCGCATCCATAAATAAAAACTGAAATTAAAAAAGAAATTCCAATTCCAGAATGATAATTGGCTGTGCCAATTGTCAACCCAACCGGCACGTGTCGTGTACCTACTTTACAAACGGTTGTGGACCCAAGAGGCAAACAAAGCCGCAAGAATGGTCCAAAGCGCATAATAGGTAGGGCCTGTGGGCCTTAAAACAACAAAAGGCAAAAACCTAGAAAAAAGCACAACGGCTACTGCGGCGTTCGGTGCGCCCACTGAAGGATATGGTTACCCGTGGGTGGCGCCCCTCAACGCAAGAAGAGCCTTGTGGGCGACGAGGTGACCGGCTGATCCGGTGAACTACATACACCAACCTCCTTTCTTCATTTATTCATAAATTGCTTTGCTTGGCCTATCAGCTTCCCAGAATTTGACTTGTTTGTTTACTGTTTTGGAGTAATACTAATATTCTTGGAGATAGATAAGGCTCAAATTGTTATTCTTGCCTGCTACCCACCTTGGAATCTTTTTGGGAAAAAACCCTTTATTTGATCATCATCTTCTTCTTCTTCTTATTTATGCCTGCAGCAACTTTGTTGGTTGCATTGCAGTCATAAGATTCTTAACATTATTACCTGTTATGGGAGTAATCATGGATTAATATATAATTAGGTCGTTTAATAAGAATCCATTTATTGTCATCACATGCAGCATGGCCCCCAATTTCCAATTTGGCAGTAGTACTTGGTCATTAGATGACTTTGATTAATCTCCCTTCTTAGCTTAGCGTTGATTGTTGGAGATTAACTTTAGAATCCGGGAAACGTTATTAACACTTCAAAATAGTCAATATATATTTTTGCATAAAACATAAATGATAAATTACATTATAAACTACAAAGAGTGCATAATATCTTTTTTGACATATAAAATTAATGCATTACTTTATAATCAAACAACTTGCATATAACAGGTTGTATGCATATTTCTCTCTATTTATCCTCACGTGATTTATTATGTGATAAAATCATAGAGAGAGAGAGAGAGAGAGAGCGCATAGTTAAATTGCAAAATATGCCAAATAAACAAATTTTACAATAACGAAAAATTATAACTAAAATACAAAAAGAGGTTCCAACTCAATTAAATTTTATTTTCCAATAACGTAAACAGTAGACTCAGCCAGGTCAATACGTTTTAAAACTCAATCCGGACTCGTTTTTTTCCCTTGGCAGGTTACGTCTACAGCCAATCAAGCCCTACACGAAACCACCTAACATGGCAAGTTGTAATGGCAATCTCGAAATTGTCCTATAATCCAAGGGCAAAATCACCAAATCATGGCCCATTAAGAAGCTTCGAGCGAATATAGGCCTTCCACGCAGCTTCTTCCCACGCATGCGAAACCGGCTCTTCCCGGTCTCCTAAACGTGTGAGAGCGACCGCGTCATTCTCTAACCCACGCACCGTTTTATCTCTCTACATCTTCTCTAACAGTCTAACGCAGTCTTTTCAGTTTTCACAGTTTCAGGGAGCCAAAACCTCTCTCAGTCATGGCATCGAACCGCTCTCCGTTCCCAAACAGAAATAAAATATCTTTCTGCTAACAAAAAACCAACCATGGCTTCTCGCTTTGACCATCCTCCTTCCCCGCACCACAGTTTTAAGATCTGCAACTCTCTTTTAAAAGCACCTGCCTTGATCGGAGCCAACCACACCTCCGCTCGATTCTGCTCTCGCTAAACCATACACTAAACCCTTCTTCCTCTTCCAATACGATTATTCAATTTTCAGAAATTCAATTCATTCTTTGATTGGTTGTGAGAAAAACCCAGAATTCTCTATTCTTTTTGTTTCTGTGAAAAAGGTGTATATTTGACAGAGATGGAGCCAACCGCAGGCAAGCCAGGCCTTCTGAAGAACGTTCTGGTACGCTGCTTCTTATTCGGCGTTTTGATCATACTGTGCCGTTTTGCCTACGTCGTCACCGTCACCGGCGAGTCGTGCAAGCTCGGCAACTTCTGCTTCTTGTCTCTGCCTGAAAATCTCAACTTCGTTATTGCGAGAACCGGTGGTCCGGCCATAGCCGCCAAAAACGGCGCCGTACCTTCGACTTCGGCGGGGTCCTCGCTACCGGATCTGTACACCAGCAAGGACTGGATTAAGGCCGTCCATTTTTACTCCTCCGTCTTCCAAGATCTCATGGCGCAAGGCTTCCTCTCCCGGAAGGCCAAGTCTCTGTGCGTAGAGACCCCGACCGGGCATGACGTGTACGCTCTGAGAGAGTCCGGCGTCAAGGGCGCCGTCGGTATTTTCAAGAAAGCTTCGAGGCCTCTGGTAATTCCAGGAGACCCGCACCGTTTACCGTTCGGTGACAATAGTTTTGATTTCGTTTTCTCGGGCGGAGGCAGACTCGATAAGTCGCCAAAGCCGTCGGATTTCGCCGCCGAGATCGTACGGACGCTGAAGCCCGAAGGGATTGCGGTGGTCCACATCGGCGCGAAAGACACCTACAGCTTCCATTCGTTTATTGATTTGTTCAATTGCTGCAAGCTCGTGACTTCGCGCGACGTCGAGGGTTTCGATGATTCCATGCCCAAAATTCGCGAGATGGTGTTGAAGAAGGAGTGTGATGATGGTGAGATTGAGCTTCTGAGCAATACTAGGATTGAGAACGGTGGTGGCAATTTGGGTAATAAGTGCTCGGTTCCTGGGCATAAGCTAGAGTTGGTCAGGAAAGCCGAGCCTTTGATTGAAACAGAGCCGTTGAAGCCATGGATTACTTTGAAGAAGAATATACAGAATGTCAAGTACCTTCCAGCAATGGCGGATATAAGCTTTAAGAAGCGGTATGCTTATGTGGATGTTGGAGCTAGAGGCTATGGCTCCAGCATTGGCAGCTGGTTCAAGAAGCAATACCCAAAACAGAACAAGACTTTCGAAGTGTTTGCCATTGAGGCCGATAAAACTTTTCATGAGCAGTACAAGTTGAAGAAGAGGGTTACTTTGTTGCCTTATGCAGCTTGGGTGAGGAACGAAACACTGTCGTTTGAGATTAACGGTGACCCGGGCGAGAAGGTGAAGGAGAAAGGCAGAGGTATGGGGAGAATTCAGCCGGCGAAGTCGGCTGATGGCGGGTTTAATGGGGAGGTGGATCAAATTCAGGGGTTTGATTTCGCAAATTGGTTGAAGAACACCTTTTCGGAGAAGGATTTCGTGGTGATGAAGATGGATGTGGAAGGGACCGAATTCGATTTGATCCCGAGGCTGTTTGAGACAGGAGCCATTTGTTTGATTGATGAGATTTTTCTGGAGTGCCATTACAATAGGTGGCAGAGGTGTTGCCCTGGTGAGAGGAGCTCAAAGTATGAGAAAACTTATGGTCAATGCTTGGACCTCTTCACTTCACTGAGGCAAAGTGGAGTTCTTGTTCACCAATGGTGGTGACATTTACAGGTTTCTTTGGTTGTAGTCCAGACATGTTTTTCTTTTTATAGTTTTGTAATTTTGTTTCTCAAAGAAAAATTTTAGATTCCCAGAAATTTGTTTGTTGTAAGAATTGCAGCTGGAAAATGAAATTTTCATTTACTTCATATCATATAGAAAAGCTCTGTTTCTTCCATTGGATTTAGTTTGTGTTTTATCTTCTATTTGGTTACATGAATATGGGCACATTTGATTGGTTTTAGATTGTTTCTGTTTTAGACAAATCTGCTTCTTCTGATTTTAAGGAAGGATTCATAAGATTGATTGAGCAGTTGAAGGCCCAAAAACGGTACGATATAAGCAGACTTTCTAAAGCCGTGATCATGCCTCACTTGTTTTTGTTGGTAAATTCCACCAGACTTTCTAAATTCGTTTCAGATGCTTTAAAAAAATTCAGCACCATATAAGCAGCTAATTAGTAAATAATATTGCTCGTTAAGTTTCAAAGTATTTGGAAACACAATCAATCATTGCAATAGGATGTTGAAGATAATTAAGAGAATAATCTACGGAGCCTGTAGCATATTACATGGTAGGGAAGACTATGTTTGCGGCTCAAACAGGGAAAGCTTCATCATGTTGACTTCTTTGACTCAATCATTGGGTCACCACCGACTTTGAGCCTCATAATTTTGGTTGAATGCCATTGCCAGCAATTTGTTCTTGACATGGCTCTGCACATGGGTTTAGCATTTAGCACATGTTTTGTTCCTCATCACCCTTGTTGTCAGCCCAAATTCTGCATCGTTGTCACCTTACATTTCCATCACCAACATATCAAAGCAATTCTTAACAATCAATTTCATCCAACGCTTGAGCAGTGAAAAAAACATGAAGATATTTAAAATTTAAAAACCAGAGGTCTAAGCATACGTGAATTAAGCTTACTGATCATAATAGTGAGTCCGCCCTCTTGTACCCTAATTCAAGCCATCCTCCTCGTAATCAAAAGTGACATCTCATCCATTTCAGCCCAAAACAAGTTCTTAGGCTTGTGTAACTCGTTTATACCCATACAACTACAATTGGGCTTATCCTAATCTTCTTCTTCACCATAAACCGTCCACCTCTCGTGTGTTTTCTAGATTTAAAAATATATATGTTTGACAATGGATATATCTAGAAACTAAGAGTCGTACAGATTAGAAGAAAGGTTTTGTTTTAGTTCAAGTGTTTGTAATTGTTGATATGTGTATACAAGTTGTTAGTTATATAGGAAATGTGTTTGAATAGGATGGTTGTAAGTGAAAGTCAAACTACAATTTTTTTGGTTTCGAACCATCTAATTGACTAAATCAATAAACCATCTAGTTTACTTAACCAGTTATCAGAAAGAAGACTTTCTAGTTTACTGCCAAAAGAAAACGGATTAGGTTTTGATTAGTTGAACAGAAACAGTGGTCTTCCAAAAACTGGTTAGGGGTATGTATGTAGTTTGTACATAGTTTGCCTTATTAACAACTGGATTTTCATCTAATGGCTTAAAAATAAGGTAACTAAATTCCTAATCAAAATAATAACTGATAAAGAAGATACATGAAACGATACGAAATCGCGTAGCATATATAATTTAGTGTGAATGCCACTATTTTAGTGAGAAAGATATCACGTTGGGATTTACATGAAACACGTGACGATTTCGTGTTGGTTAACCAACTAAGATATAGGGAAAATTATATTGCTAATTATAGTTCTGTATTTTGATTAATTTAGACATTAATAGGGAGATGCAAATTTAGCATTTCTATCCTCCTAGCAAGACCGAGGGTATTCTTGTCATTATCGTTTTAACAATTTTTGTCAGCGGAAAAATAGCTATTTGAGTTGAATATGGATTCAGATTAGCACGTCGAAAATTCAGAGAACAGCCCGCAATATTGCAAAACAAGGAGGAAGGAGCCTGCGACTTTTTTCCTTCTTTAATTTTGATTGCATGATTGCATGCTGTTGATGCTCAACCAAAAGATTCATGCATGATCGAGTCATTTCCATAGTTGCATGCACATACCAATAAACACCATCCGACCATCGCCTTTCAATTCTCTTTCTCTTCTTGCCTCTTCACCCATTTCTGCCATTTGGGTAGTGGTTGGTTTTTGTTGGTTCTTTTAAAGTTTTTTTCTTTTTTTCTTTTCTTCTTTGGAGAATTATCATTTGTGAGAAGTTGGCTTGTACAGAGAGACATGGGAGCTTGTTGTTCCAAGGAAGCGTTGTATGGAGGAGGGTACATAGAGGATGATCGTACGAACAATCGGCATTTTAACGAATCTGAGGGTAATGATGAGGAGGACAATGTAAGGCACGGGGACAACGGGGCCCGCATACGGTTGCAAGGGTGTTCTAGGTTCACATCAATGTACACCCAGCAAGGAAGAAAGGGATCAATCAAGATGCCATGACAATTTGGGAGGTATGATTATTCAACACAACATGTCTTTCCCTGAAAAGCTCATCTGTGTTCGTTTTTTCATCTTTGATAAATAATCCTTGCATTTTTCTTTTTCTTTTTTCCTTTAAGCTTTCATTTCATTGTCACTGTGGTTTGCTTTTTGTTGGGGTTTTCTCAGTTTTGGTTATTGAAATCAGCTCTGTTTCCTAATCTCATGCCTTCAAATCTTATTCGCATCCTGTGTTCTGCAAAATTTGTTCTTCAACATTTCCTAGTTTGTTAATTGCTTCATGTAATTTCAATAATGATATGTCCTTCAGCCTATAGAATCCTCTTTTTCCCCTTTGCTATTATTTTCTTTTGTTTATGAAAGCAATGTGCATTTAAAGGAAGTTTTTATCTCATCAATCCTTTAGGACTTTACTGAGAAGGGCATGTACTTCTGTGGTGTGTTTGATGGTCATGGCCCTGAAGGTCACAAAGTTGCAAGATGTGTACGTGACAATTTGCCCTCGAAGCTCTCCCAAGTGATCAAAATTTACCAACTTAACACCGGAATATTCAGTGACATTGATGTTGGAAGTGAGCTCTATGAAAATGTTGGTCACAGACACAACAAGAAAGCCAGTCAAGATATGCCCCTTTCTTCATGGGAAGCCAGTTATGTTAAATCATTCAAGGAAATGGACGAAGAACTTAGCCTCGATAACACCATCGATAGCTTCTGCAGTGGTTCAACAGCTGTAGCTGTAGTTAAGCAGGTATTGTATATATTGGTTTGCACTTAAATTTGGATTAAAAAGCAAATGGTTGGTTCAAAGCGCAATTCAAAAAGTTCATCTTCTTTAATTTATATGGGGTTTCATTTTCAGGGTGATCACTTGGTAATTGCCAACTTGGGGGATTCTCGTGCCGTTCTTGGCACTAGATCAGGAGAGAAAAACCAGATATGTTCTGTCCAACTCACAGTTGACTTGAAACCAGATACTCCAGGTCGGTTTAGTACTTGTGCTCTTAAGATTTTTACTTGAAGCATGATGATCAAAGTTGTATTGATGTTCTTATTTTTCCCTACTGTTATGACTCAGGTGAAGCTGAGAGAATAAAGAATTGCAAAGGCAGAATTTTATCAGTGGACGAAGAACCAGAAGTGTATAGATTATGGATGCCCGATGAAGATTGCCCTGGTCTAGCAATGTCAAGGGCTTTTGGAGATTTCTGTGTCAAAGATTGTGGCCTAATCTCAATCCCTGAAGTTTCCTATAGAAGGATCTCAAGCAGTGATGAATTTGTGGTCTTGGCAACTGATGGGGTAGGAAAACAACACATTTTGTTTACTAATATTTGAATTGCTAAACAGGCCTCTACTTGATGGTTAAAAAAGCATACCCAATTGTGAAATGAGTGCAGATAAATGGTTGTGAAACCTGAAAAAATCCTTGAACTAAGACTGAAGTTTCCTAGCTCTAAATCGTATTCATCACATCATTTGATGAACAAATTTGGTGACTCTGCTTTGTGCAGGTGTGGGATGCATTGACAAACACTGATGTGGTAAAGATAGTTGCTTCAGCAAAGAGGCGATCCATTGCAGCCGAATTGGTGGTAAAACGTGCTGTTAGAGCATGGAAAAGAAAGTTCCCAGAATCGAAAATCGACGACTGCGCAGTCATATGCTTGTACCTGAAAAACCAACCATCGTTAACACAGACCGCATCTAACTTGAGCCGTGGAGGCAAACCAAATGATACAGAGCTTTCATTGTCTTACTATAGCACAAGATCCAACATTGTAAGTGATGTGGGATGCCCTGCATCTGAGATCAGTAGCAAGATCACAGAAGACATGAATGAATCTGTGGTGAGTAGCAAGATCACAGAAGACTCAAAGGAAGAGTGGAATGCTCTTGATGGAGTTGAAAGAGTAAATACCATGTTGAAGCTTCCTCGGTTTTCTAATGGTTTGAATCGGCGGAAATCACAAAAGGATGATGAAGATGGTGAAAATCAGGAATTAGTTCAATGATGAGGTCTTAAACCGAATGATTTGCAAATCTCTAATCTGGGTTAGAGATTATCAAGCTTCTTGTGACAACCAACAATCTTAAACCCAGTTCAGAACAACGGATATTTCATCAAACATGTCTCAATAGATGCAGATCAGCTTCCTGCCAAATATGAAAGATAAAAGTGCAACCATAAATTCTGCCTTTAGAATTGTGTAGGGGAAAAAGATGTAAATATTTTGTTTTACTAAATTAATAATATATATTTGACTATATTTATATATAAAAAGAAATCCCAATCCTACAGGGAAAACCAAGACTCTTTCCTTTCCTGGACAAGTTAGTTATTGATGGCTAAGTTTCCTAATTCAACCTGGATTGCTGCATTGCCTATAAATGGAGTTGAGAGCAGACTGCCTCTTTACTTTTCTTTTCCTCGTACAAAACAGAGCAACCCTCCTTTCCTTCCTTCCCTTCCTTCCCTTCCTTCCTTCCCACGCCATCTAACGCTGCCACAATGGTTACCAAAAGGAGAAGAACAGCATCATCAACTAACACTGCCACAATGCTCACCAAAAAGACAAGAACAACATCATCACCAAATTGGTCTGAGCTCCAGACTAACCTGTTAAACCTGATCATGAAAAATCTTTCTGTCACCGACTTGCTTCGGTTCAAAGCAGTTTGTTCCTCCTGGAACCACGCCATGGAATCCTACTTTTCGGGTTCTGCTTCGGGGCCCCAAATACCATGGCTCATGCTCCCTCCTATCCAACAAAACAGGACTCATGACTACAACGACGCCACTCGCTGCTTTTATAGTTTCCAAGAGAAAAAACTTTACACCATCGAGAGCGCGTTTCAAGACTTTGACAATGCTTGGTGTGTGGGTTCATCACACGGCTGGCTGGTGATTTTGGACAAAAGAGCAAACCCGCATCTCTTGAATCCAATTTCTGGACGCAGAATTCAACTCCCGCTGTTTTGGCCTGTTGATCGCTCAATCGACGAAAACCTGCGCAAGACTTATATTACCAAGGCCATCCTTTCCTCTGCCCCCTCTGGCAACTACAACAACTTCGTTGTCGTGATCATCTACGGCAGGCTTCTAGACCTACCAGCACCATTGGAACTTGCATTCTGTAAGTATGGGGGGACATGGACTAGCTTGGAGGGCAAGCATAGAGCATATAGTGATATTATATTCCACAATAACCAGCTATTTGCATTTGCTGAACATGGCTCGGTTGAAGTTTGGGACTTCAAGAACACCTCTTTTCCCATCAGAACCATCAATCTCCGTCGACCTTCCTTAGGTTCTTTGCAAGACCGCTCGAATATTTTGAAGTTTCGGAGCTGGGAATTTTCTACTCGGACATATTTGGTGGAGTCATTGGGTGATATTTTGTTCGTGGGGCGAGTTAAAGGGAACTTTCTTGATCGTCAAGGCAGAGCTGTTGATCCGTTGAGCCCTGGTGATGAGGATTGTTTTCCGTACAGAACAATGCAGTTTTATATCTTTAAGTTGAATTTGAGTGCCAAAAAGTGGGAGAAAGTGGAATGTTTGCCTGATCGGGCATTGTTTTTGGGTGGAAACCAGTCGATATCATTATCCACCATTGATTTCCCAGAGTTTGAAGAAAACTCAATTTACTTCACAGATGACAAGTGGGATGAGATCAGTTTTAAGTTCCACGGTTTTGCTAATGATTATGGTGGCCATGACAATGGAATTTACAGCATACAAGACAAAGTTGTGAAGCCGTTTGATCAATTTGGTAAGTGGAGAATCGACCCACCACCCTTTTGGATTGTTCCTAATCCATGGTGAAAGGGTCAAAAGAGGTATATGTTCTTATACCATGTTTTCCTTGTACAAGATTAGTTGGAACACTTTGTGGTTGGATATTTGTATTAATTTTGCTCCCTCTAATTTCTAAAGGTGAAACTCTTCGTTGTTTTGGGTACAGGTCTTCTTCTTTTCTTTTTTCTTTTTTTAAATAATAATTTTTAATTTGCTTGTTTTATGATACAATCTTTATCTTGGACGATATTTCTTTTCTAGCAAGTGGAGATTACTTAAAGTAATGAATATATATTGTTTGAATGACTGCAAAAATAATGAGAACATAATTAGTAAATTTACATCATGTATATATGTATTTTTCACAAATACTTCTATTTCTCGTAAACATCTCAAAGGCACAGTAAAATACCAATTTTTATTATAAAAAATTAAACGTACAATATATGTATTATACATAACATATATATTTTCAAGTTCAATACATGTATTTTTAACAAACTTTTCAACAATACATGAAAAATTAATGTATTATACACGTATATGTTACACATAGTATTGAATAAAAAGAATATATACTACAAAGTTTCAATAAATAATATTAAAATATCATATAATGATCGAATTTGTCAACTTTTTTTTTTAAATACCAATATACATATGTATTTCATTCGTATTTTTATGGTTCCTTTGTTTATTAACTGTAAATGAGAACTATGCCACCATGTAATCGTTAACCATATTTAGTCACAGGAACGTTATCTACCTTTCTCAATTTGCATTTCTCTATTGACACGTGGACTTCACTTGCACAATACATGTCAACAGAAGAATGGGAGTGGCAAATTGAAGAAGGTTGTAAAAGAGAACTAGTGAAAAAGAATCTTTACTTCCATATTCAAACCTATAACATCTTTGTTGCGAACCTATAACATCTTTGTGGTATAACATCTTTGTTGCGTGTGTGTGAATAAGGAAATGTAGATAGCATTCCTCCTCATTTAGTTAAGTAAGGAATCCCAATCCTAAAGGGAAACGCAGAATCTCCGCCTCTTTATACACAGACAAAGCTGTTAGAGTAGGGCAACAGTAACCGACATTAACTCGATGGCCCAAACCAGTCCAAACAGAAAAGTTCACGACTGGTCGAGTCTTCATCAAGATATTGTCGACTCGATCGCCAAACGACTGGTCTCTCCGGCGGATTTGATTGTTTTTGCCGCAGTTTGTAAAGCATGGAGATCAGCCGCCATCAAAGAATACTTTACCAGCCGATCAACACTGAAATCTCCAGTGCTTATGATCCAAGCCAAGAACAAGGAGAAGGGCACTCTCACCCCTGAATTCTACAACAGCTCAAGGAGTACGTGGTCAAAGGGAACGTTTCACAAACTTGGTCTGCTCGCACCCAAGAAAACAAAGCAGTCTTTTTATTCTTCTCTAGGCTGGCTGGTGGCTGTGTCTGCGGATTTGAAGGTTGATCTGCTGCACCCTTTAAGCCATGACCAGATTGAACTTCCAGATATTAACAAAGTCACAAACCATCACCAGCAACAGAGCTTTTCCGGCGTGCCGTACGAGTTCATAGCTAGTAAGTTTGTCTTGTCATCAAGCCCTTCTTGGACGTGTGATTATATAGTGACTGTTATTTATAGGATTTTGGGAGGCTGGGGTTTTTGGAGACCAGGAGAAGATGAATGGACCAGTGTGGGGAGGAATATAATGGATCTTGCTTATTATAAAGGGCAGTTTTATGCTGTGGACTTTGATGGGAATATAATGGTTTGTGAGATTGCAGAGCCTGAGCAACCAAAAATGAGGATTGTTGTTCCGAAAGTGCCAATGGAACCCATGTGTGCTTCTGTTGATCAAAGCCTTTATCTGGTGGAATCACAAGGGGCCTTGTTGGTGGTTCTGCGTCTTAGGCAATGGTTCAGTTCAACAACTGAGTTTAGGGTTTTCAATGTGCCATTGGAGGGTTGTGGCAAGTGCTGGTGCCATTGGTCGGATTTGCAGGTAAAGAACTTGGGTGACAGTACCCTATTTCTGGGACGCCATAATTCTTCCTTCTCTATCGAATGCAAGAAGAACAAGAACTTTGTATGTTTGGGGAATAGCATTTGCTTCACGGTTGATTTTTGTGAGTGTCTCGCACTTACCAATGGAGATATGGACGCCAGTTATTTTGTTTTCAATATGACAGATGGGAAAATGAAGCCTTGCTTGGGCAAACGCCTCAATTTAAGAGCGCCATATTTATGGATTCAAGCACCATTTTAAAGCTTTAGGTGATTGTTGTATTTTAAAATCTCATCTTTGGAGTTCTGTGTTTGTGTTTATTTGTTGGTATTTGTGGAAATGGAGAAACCAATTTATTTTAAATGCTGAGGAGGTTTTTCCTTCTAATCATAGGCAGATTATTCTCTCTGCTGTTTCTGAGTGGAGCAAGGCTTCCTGTGGTTGTAGGGCAGTTGAGGTGAAAGTGCGAACTCTTTTGGCTTGGGATTTTCCTGGGACTGGAGTGGTCAAACTTAATGTGGATGGGTCTCATAAAGCAGCTTTTGGGAATATTGGTGCTGGAGGCGTTCTTCATGATTGCAAAGGGGAATGACTTGGGGGATTTGCTGTGAATCTGGGGAAGGGTCAAATCCTTGAAGCTGAGCTTTGGGGTTTATTTTTGGATCTTAAACTGGCCCTGGATAAAGGTGTTAGTAGGATTGTCATTGAGTTGGACTCGGCTCTAGCTGTTATTCTTATTCAGCAAATGGACTCCTATTGTTTTCATCCCCTTGCTGGTCTGCTGTATAACTGCTGTGATTTTCTCAGGCAGTTTGAGACATACAAGATTCACCATATTTCAGAGAGAAGAATTGCCTTGCTGACTGCCTTGCAAACTGGAGTTACAATCTGGATTTTGGTATTTGTTTCTTTGACACTGCTCCTGTTTGGGGTAGTGAAGCCTTGGTTGGTGACTTGTTAGGCATTTCTCGTGCTCATTTGATTGGTATTGAAAGAGTGTAGCTGTTTTGGGGGTCTTCCCCCCTATTTCATTTATGAAAATCTCATCTTTGGATCAAATTATTTAATGTTGCCTATTTCTTAAGTGGTGGAGTTTAAGGTAATAAATATTTGGTTGAACATTTTGTCTGAAAGGATAAGAATCTGCATCATTTTGTCTAAAACGAGTGACAGAAAAATAAAAAACAAATTTTGACCATAAATAATGCTGCAGTCAAAAACAAATAAGGGGGAAGAGGGAAAGAGACTGGGTTGGGGCTCTAATATTTAAAACGTATAGCCGGCTAGACTTAAAAAAAAGTATCGCTGGTCGGCTATACGTTTTAAATGTATTCGAATATTTAAATAGTATAGCCGCGCGGCTATATGTTATAAAAATTGTATAGCCGCCCGGCTATACTCTTTTTAAAATTTTTATAATAGGTTATATGCTTGTCTAGAAACAGGCATATACCAATCTAAAATCTTGAAATAGTCAGAATCCTTTGTTTCTTCCTCTAGAGAATTTCCTCTCTTTCTTGCTCTGAATGTAACAAGGTGACCCAGCTTGGATTGGATGTTCTGTCGTTTTAGTTTCCGATTCTCATTAGCTCGGCCTCTTCAACCCCCAAGTGTGATCTCTCTGAAGCCTAATATGTTACCACCTCAAGGATCCAGGTTTTCAACCGCTGTATCAAGGAAGAGTTGCGAGGGAAAACTAGGGTGCTGGTCACAAATCAGCTACATTTTCTTCCTCAAGTGGATCAAATTATTCTAGTCTGTGATGGTAAGATTAAAGAGGTGGGAACCTTTTAAGGAGCTGTCTAAAAGCAGTAAGCTGTTCCAGAGACTAATGGAAAATGCAGGGACAATGGAAGAACATGTAGAAGGAAAGGAAGACAGCAAAAAATTAATGAGTACCATGAAAGCTCAACACCTGCTTCCAATGGGGTGTTAAATGACTTGCCAAAAGCACCTCAAAGAGTTATAAACCTGGATTCTACATTCTTGTATATGGGATTCTGCCATTTTGCCAGGTGTGTCAAGAGTTGCCACATAATTCTCCATTTCCAACTTGTTCTTGATTTTGAAGATATTTATCCACATTTCCTGATTTCTGAGATTTCAGGTTGATATTCGTAATCTGATTTAAGCAATTGAACGAAGCTACTTTGTGAAGCATTGTGTTTCAGCATGAGAGTTTGTAATTGTCTTGTTATGGCATGCAGGCAATGAAACGAGGTGACCCAGCTTGGATTGGTTGCATATACGCCTTGTCAATTTTCACTGGTGTGGTATGAATTCTGTCATGTGTTTTCTCAAGTAACATGATTTGATTGCCGTCCCTGCATATGTTAAACATAATTACATCAAATAGCTATAGAAGTTGCCCCAGCAGCTTCCTGTGACTCGTTAATTTATGGAAAATGGAGCTGATAACTTAAATGTGCATAAATATTGCAAGGACAGATTGTGAATTATATTGACAAGTTTATTAATCTTTGTCCAGTCACTTGGTGTGCTCTCTGAAAGCTCAGTATTTCCAGAATGTTATGCGGGTCGGTTTTAGAAATGCTCAGTATCTCTAATTCTTTGAAATGCTCTACTTTAAGTCATTTGATTCAATTATAACTAATATGCTCTTTCTCATGATTTAGCAAATATGTCAAACAACTTCACGGACTATGGTCAGCTCCTTTTCGTATCACTGTAGCCATGGTCCTTCTTTACCAGAAATTAGGTGTTGCATCCGGATCAATGATGCTAATTCTCATGATCCCCATTCAGGTCAGCACTCGGTTCTTTCTCTACTTGTAGATTTCCACTTTTCTTTGAAGGTTAAGCTTAGGCTATCATGTTCTTACTGAACAGAAAAACCGTTAACATTTCCCGTTTTCATGCATTTGTATTTATTTCCATCTTAATCTTCTTTTTTTGGTCGAAATTGTCATAGATATCTTTAACCTGGATTTGTGGATCCAGTCTTCAGAACTCAGAAAAGCTTAACAATCTGTAGTTCAGCTGCTAGAATGCTTTCTTGGCAACTTAGTACATCCAATATCATATCAAATTCCTTGTCCTTAAGTTGGAAATTTGTGGATTTTATATTCATGAACATATGGGTAGAAATTTGCACGATATTTCAAAGCAACATCATATATTTTAATTAGTGAATTTCATTTTCATAGGCTCCTTGCTTAGATTATATATATAAGGCGCCCCAATACCATATCTTCTTCTGCTGTTTGATTTATTGATAAGGATTTTGGTTCTTCTGTCTAATGATTCATTTGTCATAAGTTCTTTTGTGAAAAGACAATCGTGATCAGCAAAATTCGAAAACTGGCAAAGGATGGACTACAGCAGACTGACAAGAGAGTGGGCCTCGTGAATGAAATTTTGGCAGCCATGGACAATGTGAAGTATGATAGCACACCACCGACAGTAATTGTTTCTAACATTACTGAAAATAAAATGTTTCAGAACAGCATCCCAGTTGTTGTGACACTAACATCATTAGGGATGTTCACTTTCCTTGGCGGCAATTTGACACCTGCGAGGGCATTCACATGGCTTTCTCTTTTTGCAGTGCTATGGTTTCCTTTAAACATGCTGCCCTAACTTATCAAGTCGGGTAGCATTAGTTTCTTATCAGTTCACTTATCTGTCATCTTGCATTTGGCTCAACACCTTTACCTGTATTATCTCATCTACAACATCGAGATTATGTTTCATCCGTACTTAACGAAATGTTACATAGTTTCTCCTTGTCTTTGTCAGTTTCTAACTATCTGCTTTAATTTAACTGGTTGTAAATGCAAATGTATCCTTACAGCGTTTGGAGGAACTATTTTTAACTGAGGAGAGAATTCTAGTGCCGAACCAGCCTCTTGAACCGGGCTTCCAGCCATCTCAATTAAGGATGGTTAATTTTCATGGGATTCTAAGGTCAACGCTTGACAATAATGACTTTCTTCTTTTAGAAATATATAGTTCATTCTTAGTTACATCATAGACCCACACAATGACACTTGAATTATGTGGAAATTTGGCAAGAAAGTAGTTACATAGAAATTCCTGGAACTTTTCAAATGTACTTGATGATGCTAGTTGCATGTTGAGTATCAAACATGTTGAACAACACCCCTCTCGTTTCTTGCCGGCAGAGAAGCCCACCTTATCAAACATCAAATTAGAAATACCGGTTGGAAGCTTAGTGGCAGTTGTTGGCGGCACTGGAGAAGGGAAGACGTCGCTTGTATCAGCCATGCTTGGAAAGCTGCCTCCCAGAGCAGATTCTGGTGTTGTAATCAGGGGGACTGTTGCTTATGTTCCCCAAGTTTCATGGATTTTCAATGCTACTACATGTGGGTCGCAGCATCTCTTCTTTGAATGCCTACAATGTTTAATCTTGGCTTTCTAGCCGATTCAAAGCCATCTCCTACCCCTATGTGCACTTTCTGAGCGTTCAAAGTTTTCTTCTAAGTACGCAAAACTGTTTTATTTGGATCTAGATTTGAGCCTGCATGATATTGGAAGGCTATTGATTTAACTGAGTTACAGCACGATCTATACATACTTCCAGTAAGTGAATTTATGATGTTTTAGCTTCGAAATTGGTGATCATTACACTCTGTAAAGATTTCCAGTTACCTAAAAAATATTTAAACAGTATCGCTGTTCGGCTATGCTATTTAAATATATTCGAATATTTTAATCGTATCGCCGCGCGGCTATACTTTTAAACAATAGTATAGCCGAGCGGCTATACTTTGAAAAATAGTATAACCGCCGGGATATACTTTTGAAAAATATTACAGCCAAAAAGTATAGCCGTGCGGCTATACTTTTTTTTTCCCGACTCCAAAGAAAATGTAAATAGCATTCCTCCTCATTTAGTCAAGTCAGGAATCCAATCCTAAAGGGAAACGCAGAATCTCCGCCTCTCTATACACAGACAAAGCTGTTAGGGTAGGGCAACAGTAACTGACACTAACTCGATGGCTCAAACCAGTCCAAACAGTAAATTTCACGACTGGTCGAGTCTTCATCAAGATATTGTCGACTCGATCGCCAAACGAATAGTCTCTCGGGCGGATTTGATTGCTTTTGCCGCAGTTTGTAAAGCATGGAGATCAGCCGCCATCAAAGAATACTTTACCAGCCGATCAACACTGAAATCTCCAGTGCTTATGATCCAAGCCAAGAACAAGGAGAACGGCACTCCCACCCCTGAATTCTACAACAGCTCAAAGAGTACGTGGTCAAAGGGTACGTTTCACAAACTTGGTCTGCTCGCACCCAAGAAAACAAAGCAGTCTTTTTATTCTTCTCTAGGCTGGCTGGTGGCTGTGTCTGCGGATTTGAAGGTTGATCTGCTGCACCCTTTAAGCCATGCCCAGATTGAACTTCCAGATATTAACAAAGTCAGAAACCATCACCAGCAACAGAGCTTTTCCGGCGTGCCGTACGAGTTCATAGCTAGTAAGTTTGTCTTGTCATCAAGCCCTTCTTGGACGTGTGATTATATAGTGACTGTTATTTATAGGATTTTGGGAGGCTGGGGTTTTTGGAGACCAGGAGAAGATGAATGGACCAGTGTGGGGAGGAATATAATGGATCTTGCTTATTATAAAGGACAGTTTTATGCTGTGGACTTTGATGGGAATATAATGGTTTGTGAGATTGCAGAGCCTGAGCAACCAAAAATGAGGATTGTTGTTCCGAAAGTGCCAATGGAACCCATGTGTGCTTCTGTTGATCAAAGCCTTTATCTGGTGGAATCACAAGGGGCCTTGTTGGTGGTTCTGCGTCTTAGGCAATGGTTCAGTTCAACAACTGAGTTTAGGGTTTTCAATGTGCCATTGGAGGGTTGTGGCAAGTGCTGGTGCCATTGGTCGGATTTGCAGGTAAAGAACTTGGGTGACAGTACCCTATTTCTGGGACGCCATAATTCTTCCTTCTCTATCGAATGCAAGAAGAACAAGAACTTTGTATGTTTGGGGAATAGCATTTGCTTCACGGTTGATTTTTGTGAGTGTCTCGCACTTACCAATGGAGATATGGACGCCAGTTATTTTGTTTTCAATATGACAGATGGGAAAATGAAGCCTTGCTTGGGCAAACGCCTCAATTTAAGAGCGCCATATTTATGGATTCAAGCACCATTTTAAAGCCTTAGGTGATTGTTGTATTTTAAAATCTCATCTTTGGATAATCAAGCCATGTTGGGTAAAATTGGTTGGAGATTACATGCTAAAGATTAGGGTTTGTGGGCTAAATTTTTTGAGGATAAGTATCTGAAAGGCTGCTTTATTTTGGATAATTCTCTGGAGGTTAGGAAGGATTGTTCTGCCACTTGGAAGGGAATTTTACATGGCTCTAAGCGTCTTTTGCAGGGGATGACTTGGAGAATTGGTATGGGGGATAAGGTGAAGTTTTGGACTGATAAATGGTTGTCTGATGTGCCTTTGATACATTATGAGGGGGTGGTAGAGTTGTTGGACCTTGATTGTCCTGTGTCAAGTTTCTTTAAACAGGGATGGTGGGATATTAAGAAGCTGAGAGCTACTGTGCCTGAAGAGGTGGTGCAAAAGGTTATTAGTTTCTCTTCTGGGTTTAATAGTAATTTGGAGGATTCTCAGATTTGGAAGCCTAATGCCAATGGGATTTTTACTGTAAAATCTGCTTATCAATTGCTTTTTGGAAGTCTTCGTGGCAGTTGAAACTTTCCCCCAAGTTGTAAGTTTTTATCTGGCTTGCGTACCAGGATAAAATTATTTCTAATGATCAGAGAGTTCAGAGGCATTTATCTATGGATTCTTCTTGTTCCTTAAATGCTGTCCATATTCTCAGAGATTGTAGGAAAGCCAAAGGGGTTTGGAGCTATTTTTTGCATCACAGTCAAGACACTCATTTCTTCTCTGCTGATTTTTAGCATTGGCTTAAGAATAATATTTTCTCCGAGGCTTGTTGCTCTGGGAGCATATCTTGGAGTTCTGTGTTTGTGTTTATTTGTTGGTATTTGTGGAAATGGAGAAACCAATTTATTTTTAATGCTGAGGAGGTTGTTCCTTCTAATCCGAGGCAGATTATTCTCTCTGCTGTTTCTGAGTGGAGCAAGGCTTCTTGTGGCTGTAGAGCAGTTGGGGAGAAAGTGCAATCTCCTTTGGCTTGGGATTTTCCTGGGACTGCAGTGGTCAAACTTAATGTGGATGGGTCTCATAAAGCGGCTTTTGGGAATATTGGTGCTGGAGGCGTTCTTCGTGATGGCAAAGGGGAATGGCTTGGGGGATTTGCTGTGAATCTGGGAAAGGGCCAAACATCTCCTTGCTGGTCTGCTGTGTAACTGCTGTGATTTTCTTAGGCACTTTGAGACTTACAAGATTCACCATATTTTCAGAGAGAAGAATTGCCTTGCTGACTGCCTTGCAAACTGGAGTTACAATCTGGATTAGGTATTTGTTTCTTTGACACTGCTCCTGTTTGGGGTAGTGAAGCCTTGGTTGATGACTTGTTAGGCATTTCTCGTGCTCATTTGATTGGTATTGAAAGAGTGTAGCTGTTTTGGGGGTCTTCCCCCCTATTTCATTTATGAAAATCTCATCTTTGGATCAAATTATTTAATGTTGCCTATTTCTTAAGTGGTTGAGTTTAAGGTAATAAATATTTGGTTGAACATTTTGTCTGAAAGGATGAGAATCCGCTTCCTTTTGTTAGTCAAAAACAGAACACCCTCCGCCGTCCTTGTAAAACAAGTGAGAGACAAATCAGAAACAGATTTTGACCATACATAATGCTGCAGTCACTACACTATTATTCAAAAGGCTCTCTGTTCTTCCAATCACCATCAATATAATCTTAAGCAGACAAACATTTTTATCATACTACCACCATTTTTATAAATTGCAGTACTAAAACAAGTTCACAACCACTGATTAAATAAACCCCTAAAAAAGAACATAGCAAGCAAAATGCAAAAAGGAGAACCTTACAAGTTCAGCTAATTAATCCCCTTTCAAAGTCGAAGCTACCTTTTTCCTGCAAGAGGCACTGTAGCACCTAGAGGAGTAATAATGGGTAACAAATTGAAGAATAAAAAAAATAAAGTTTGAAGTGGGCGTAAATACCTAAGTGAGCAATTTGGAGCTGGAATTGGTGGAGTTGGCTGAGGGAGGAATTGTGCAGTTGTCGTTGGTGTGGTGAGGTGAACATGTCATTTAGGAGAGAGCGAAGAGAGAAGAGAATAAGGGGGAAGAGGGAAAGAGACTTTGCGGCTATATTTTTTAAAGATATTCGAATATTTAAACAGTATAGCCACTCAAAAAGGACTATAGTTTTAAAAGACATTCAAATATTTATATAGTATAGCCATGCAAAAAGGGCTATAGTTTTAGAAGACATTCAAATATTTAAATAGTATAGCCGCACGGCTATACTTAAACAAAATAGTATAGCCTATAATAGGTTTTATGCCTAACTAAAATCTTGAAATAGTCAATCCTTTGTTTCTTCCTCTCTTGCTCTGAATGCAACAAGGTGACCCAGCTTGGATTGGATGTTCTATTGTTTTGGTTTCTGATTCTTATTAGGTCGGCCTCTTCAATCCCCAAGTGTGATCTCTTTGAAGCCTAAAATGTTTCCACCTCCAGGATCCATGTCTTCAACCGCTGTATCAAGGAAGAGTTGCAAGGGAAAACATGGGTGCTGGTCACAAATAGGCTACATTTTCTACCTCAAGTGGATCAAATTATTCTAGTCTGTTATGGTACGATTAAAGAGGTGGAACCTTTAAGGAGCTGTCTAAAAGCAGTAAGCTGTTCCAGAAACTAATGGAAAATGCAGGGACAATGGAAGAACATGTAGAAGGAAAAGAAGATAGCAAAAATTAATGATTACCATGAAAGTTCAACACCTGCTTCCAATGGGGTGTTGAATGACTTGCCAAAAGCACCTCAAAGAGTTATAAACCTGGATTCTACATTCTTGTATATGGGATTCTGTCATTTTGCCAGGTGTGTCAAGAGTTCCCACATAAATTATAATTCTCCATTTCCAACTTGTTCTTGATGAAGATATTTATCCACATTTCCTGATTTCTGAGATTTCAAGTTGGTATTCGTAATCTGATTTAAGCAGTTGAATGAAGCTACTTTGTGAAACATTTTGTAATTGTCTTGTTATGGTATGCAGTCAATGCAACGAGGTGACCCAGCTTGGATTGGTTGCATATACGCCTTGTCAATTTTCACTGGTGTGGTATGAATTCTATCATGTGTTTTCTCAAGTAACATGATTTGATTGCCGTCCCTGCATATGTTAAACATAATTACATCAAATAGCTATAGAAGTTGCCCCAGTAGCTTCCGGTGACTGGTTAATTTATGGAAAATGGAGCTGACAACTTAAATGTGCAAAAATATTGCATGGACAGATTGTGAATTATATTGACAAGTTTATTCAGCCATGCTTGGAGAGCTGCCTCCCAGAGCAGATTCTGGTGTTGTTATCAGGGGGCCTCCCAGAAAAGTTCATGACTGGTCGAGTCTTCATCAAGATATTGTCGACTCGATCGCCCAACGAATGGTGTCTCCGGCGGGTTTGATTGCTTTTGCCGCAGTTTGTAAAGCATGGAGATCAGCAGCCATCAAACCATACTTTACCAGCAGATCAAGACTGAAATCTTCATTGCTTATGATCGAAGCCAAGAACAAGGAGAAGGGCACTCTCACCCCTGAATTCTATAACAGGTGATGGGGTACGTTGTCAAAGGGTATGTTTCACAGGCTAGTTCTGCTAGCACCCAAGAAAACAAAGCAGTCTTTTTATGCTTCTCTAGGCTGGCTGGTGGCTGTGTCTGAGGATTTGAAGGTTAATTTGCTGCACCCTGTAAGCCATGCCCAGATTGAACTTCCAGATGCCAACAAAGTCAGAAACCATCACCAGCAACAGAGCTTTTCCCGCGTGCCTTATTAATAGTGTAAATAACTCTTTGCGAAACAATTACTACTTTCATCAAAGTCATGCTTTTGGTCGTTCAATCACGTTATTCAACCACATTACACACTTTAATTGAAACTATATATATTGCATCCACTGAAAGGTATCGTATCTTTTGTGGGTAGATAGTATATTATATTAAGGGATGAAATATAAAAAGATGAACACTGCAGCTTATTCTATGCAATGGACTAATTGTATATAACCAACTTTACCATCTGGGTTATATTATGTAATGTTTTAACAACTAAAAGCAAGCATTTTCGTCTCGTCGTCCTAATTCCGTTAAGCTGAATTTCAGACCACATAGAGAACGTAATAGCAAACGTTCCATACATATCTTTGAACCTGGCCCTAAACTCTCAATTAAGCAGGCCTCATTACTATCATATACACTGGGATAATTGGAGTGTTTGGTAGGTGCATATACATTTATAAATGATCTTTAAAAAAAAATCAAAATTATGTTTCGCTAGCCCACCTGGGGAATCCAATGAATACAGTCTCTTGAATATTTGGCCCACCACCGACAGAAACGATATTAATATACCTCTCTGGGGAGCTATCAAATGGCGCATCGGAATCATTTTGTAATTCTAAAACAATAAAATAAGTAAATAAGTAAAAAAAATTCAGAAATGTTTTTCATGATATTTAAACCTACTAACCTTCTACTTCCACCATTTTTACTCCCTCCTGCACATTTAGATTGCACCAAGTTTAGTATATTTCTTAAATTAATAAACATAGCACTGCCTCCTTAAATATGAATTCATTTCTTTTTATGTATACTTCTTAGAAGGGAAAACAAGGATCATATTATAGAGGGCAATTTTATGCTGTGGACATTGATGGGAATGTAATGGTTTGTGAGATTGCAAAGCCTGAGCGAAAATGAGGATTGTTGTTCCAAAAGTGCCAATGGAACCCACCATGTGTGCTTCTGTTGATCAAAGCCCTTATCTTGTAGAATCACAAGGGGCCTTGGTGGTTCTGCGTCTTAGGCAATGTTTCAGTTCAACAACTAAGTTTAGGGCTTTCAACGTGCCATTGGAGGAGGGTTTCCATGGGTCAGATTTGTTGCAGGAAAACAGTATCCTATTTCTGGGATGCCATAATGCTTCCTTCTCTATCAGATGCAGCAACAAGAAGAACTTTCAATGTGTGGGGAATAGCATTTGCTTCACGGTTGATTTTTGTGAGTGTCTTGCACTTACCAGAAAAACATGGACGCCAGTTCTTTTAATTATAATATGGAAGACGGGAAAATCATGTCCTGCTTGGGTAAACGCCTCAATGTAAGAGCGCCATATTTAGGGATTCAAGCTCCAAGCTTTTAGATCCATGTATAGGAATAGGATGATGCCTCAAAATTATTTCAACTAGCATATATTTTTTTTGTAGTGGGACTTTAACTAAGGTAATCAATATTTGGTTGAACATTTTGTCTACAAAAATTACTACTTTTCTGCTAACCTTTGTATGTATATATGTATGTTGTCACATATATCATTGCGTTGTTGGTCAGAATAACCATTGCAACTAAGTTTTTCTCCCATGTGTGAGATTTTTTCTACGACCCCTGGGCCCAGATTGTGGTGATCATTATATTTCAACCCCCACTTCTGCTTCCTTTTGTTAGTGAAAAACAGAACACCCACCATCCTTGTCAAACAAGTGACAGAAAAATCAAAAACAGATTGCGACCATTAATAACCAAAATCCCTTTCAAGCTCCAAGCCCCAGACATAAACATATTGCTGCAGTCACTATCATTCAAAAAGCTCTCTCTTCTTCCATCATCAAATCACCATCAAGATCTAATCTTAAGTAGACAAGCAGTTTTTGAGATGGTATGACACCAAGGTTCAATAGATACGTTTTTTCCTCTATATTAAGCAATAATATATATCATACTACCACCATTTTTATACATTGCAGAACTAATACTTCTTAGTAGACTAAAAAAAAAGGTTCACAACCATTGATTAAATAAACCCCTCAAAAAGAACAAAGCAAGCAAAATGCAAAAAGGAGAACCTTACAAGTTTAGCTAATCAAATCCCCTTCATAGTCGAAGTTAGCTTAGATAGAGGCTGATTTGCGGACAATGTAACGATAGGCAGCGACCTTTTTCCTGCGGGAGGCACTGTTGTCAACCGAGAAAACCATCTTGCCTGCTTCACGAGGAGTGAAGGAGTTGTGGATTGCTTCTTCAGAGGGCATCACCTTTCTTGGCTTGTCCACTTGGATTATGTAGCTGCCTTCTGCATTGGGCACAAACTCTGCACTGTACTCCAAGTCCCACCCTCCAACTACTATATCCCATGTTATTGTAGCATCAGCCTGATCAAAATTCCAACAAGAAGTAGAGAAATTAACCACCACTAATCTCTTTTAGATCACTAATTAAAGAAATTAACACTAAGACATAATAACTCGGGAGGGTTAATGAACCTCAATCCCCTCGATCTGTATGTTCACTTTCTCTCCTCCTTTGACAGTGAACTCGGAAGCTGGTTTTGGGGGACCATTTTGCAGATCACTGAGACGACTCAGGCCACCATACTGAACTGGAACGTCCTCAGGCCTTATAAACCTGTTTCAGAATGACAACATAACAATTTCGAGTAAGTGTCCAGCAATCAACTTAAAATAGCAAGGTGACATAGCAACAGGGGTTTTACAGAGTACAGAAGAGAAGGAACTGGTTGAGTTTAAATTCAAGAAATGAACAAAAACACAAAAACATAAAATAATGGAAAAACAGTGAAGGAATCAAAAGGCAGCAGGGAAACAAATAAAGAATCAGCAGAGAGTGGGGACCAAAAACCCAATTAAAGAATCTCAATAAGAACATCAGTTTTCACAAAAATCAACAAAACAGAGTGAAACAATGTTTGATGGTAGGGAACTCACTTGTATAGTGTTTCTGCCACATTTCCTTCCTTAGATATCACAAACTTGCTCTTAGTTCGTTGGGTCAGAAACGGACTGAAGATAGAATACAACGCGCTGAAGTACCACGGCACATTGATGAAAATCTGAAAACAACCCCAAATTAAAAACCCATATCAGAATTACCTCAAAAAATACATCCTACCCACAAATCAAACATTTTGTTCTTAAAAAACCCTACTAGAGAATCAACTCAAAAATACAGTCCACTAATTCAAATTCAAAACCCACAAGAAATCAATTGAAAATTTTAGGCACCTTGCGAGCAACCATTTCAGGGTAGTTGTCTTGAAACAGAGAGAGGATCTGGTTAGAGGCAACCCTGAGCTCTCTTTTGGGCATGTCTTTGAGATCGGTGACTTGGATGATGGAGTTAATCCCACCAGGCTTAAAATGCAAGGCGTTGATGCCCCTCTCAAGAACCTGAACTCTCCACCTCAGAAACTTCTTGAGCTTCTCGTCATCCCCAAAAATTCTCTCGTACATATCTCTGTCCTTGAAAACTCCATAGGCGTTGTAGCAAACAGGGTGGCCCTGTTTGTCAAAGCCGTGCATATAAGCCACAACTCCTTCAAGCTCCTTGAACCCCAGGTCCTCCTCAACGACGCCGTCTGCTCCAAACTCTTTTCTCCAAGCCAGGCACTTGAGCAGCATGGCGAAAGCGTCAGGGACCCTGAAGTCTCTGGCTCTGAGAAACTTCAAGAGAATCACATCGGCCTTTTCGTCGTTGCCCAACAGGGGAACTCCCCACATGGACCCGTCGGAGGCTTCAGAGCCCATGAGCTTGTCCTTGAGCTCTTGAAGCGCTTTCTTCTCTGAGGATTTTAGCTGTGAGACGAAGTACGTGTCCTCTTTGAAAGATGGGGTGCGGAGAGTGGTGGCTTCCATGAAAGTGGTGACGAAGCTTTTCTTGTTGGGTTTTGGTGAGGCTTCTGGGTGGGTTTGGAGAGGGGTTTTCTGGTCCATTTTTGGGGGTTTTTGAGGGAGACCCAGATGGAATCTGTGTGAGCAAATTCAGGTAGCTTGGTTAATTTGAGAGTCTGGGTTGTGTAGATATGTATAGTGAGAAGGTTTGCGGGTTTTGGGTTTGGTGGGGGGGGGGTCAGAGGAAGGTCTGTGGTTTCGATTCTGAAAGCTCAGAGACTTCTGGGAGTATGATTGCAGTGAACGAGGGAAAGAGACAAACAAACAAACAAAAGAAAGGTTGAAAAAGACGCAGATTGAAGAGAGAGAGAGAGCCGCGGTTTTAGTTTTGAACTTTCAAAAGCGGCTTCTCAACAACAGGAACAGAGGAGGGTCTACTTGTAATAAAAATGTGGCAAAATTTGAATGGAGAGCATGAAGAACACGCGCCCTTTGAGTGCGGGGGTTAAGTTTTCGAGGGAACCTAGCCTAGCCAAGCGCAGCCGAGCGGTGGGGTGGAGTGCAGAGGAGGTGATAATAATTGAGGATTTGAGGGGGTGGGGATGAACAGTGGGCACGGGATTGTTTGCGTAGGGAAGTGGGGCCCAGTGGGGGCAGTGGGCCTGTTTTTTAAGCTCCTCTTTTTCTTTTTTAGTTTTCTCGGTCTCTTCCTGTGGGCCCAATCTCCTTCCCACGCCTCAAAGCTGCAAAGCACTTGTTTGGTCCTTTGATCTTGTACGATCCATTCTTCTTCTTCTTTTATAATTCATGCTTATCAAATTTATCTCATTTTAAAATGCAATATTCAGATAATCCGTTTATTAAATTATTTACTTTTTAGGGCATGGCACGTCATAAATTATTCAATAATACATGAATCAGAATGTTTATAATAAATAAATATTAGCAAAAACACGTGACAACCCATAAAATATAATTCCATCTTGTAATTAATTAATTAATTTTAGAGACGTACTTTACTTTATTTTTCTATTAAAGATAATTTTTTAAAGAGACGTACGTAAATACAGTACCTTAATTATTTTTCTTGATTGATAAATTTGTAATCCACCAAAGGGCTGCAGCATAATGGAAAGGTAATTATTAGTTATGTGTGTAGAAATGCGCATGAGTGCGTCTTCGTTGCAGTCAACTTTGTCATCCTTACTAAAAGCTAATCAATTACATTAATCTTATGGTTAGCGCTTCAATATCTCAAAGTTAGCAAGAAATAAAAAATGCCAAAATGACTCAAAGCTGTAAATATGATTTTCCACTAAATTTACCTTTTCCAGTGAATTTGAATAATGCTGCAAAATTTTGAGCCTAAGACCCCGTTTGGTTCATGAAAGAATTTGAGGGGAAATCATTTTCCATATCATTCCCCAATGAATGAGAATTGAAGATTCATTTACCACGTTTGGTAATGCTGGGAAAGTAACCGAGAAATATCATTTTATTTCATTTCCCATGTTTGTTTTGAGTATGAATGGAAAACAAAATTTTGTATAAATTTTCAATTATACCCATATTAAATCAAATTAAAAAAAAAAGAATGAATTTAATGATATTGTTAGGCATGGTTTTATTTCCTTCCCCCTTACTTTTCCATGAACCAGGCAACGATTTCTCATACCTAGACTTACCAAATATGGAAAAACAATTGATTTCTCATTTCCAAATCTCCTTTCTCATGAACCAAACGGAGCCTAAGTTTTTTGCAGGTAGCCTTTTAGAACAAGTTTGCATGAAAATGTGAAAGCATGGAGTGGATAAGGAAAGACCTTTCGGCCCCACTTTTAAAGAAACCCGGAATATTTGCATCGATTTCTGAAAATATATATATATATATATAAATAAAGGGACTTGAAAATTGAAGCCAAATTTAATTAATTAATCATTTAGGGAAAAGGAGGTTAATGAGAATATTTGGGGATCTTAATGAAAATTACCCATTATTATTAGGCATGGTTTTCTGTCAATGAAACCGCAGGACCCATTTTCATCATTTTATTCACTAAAGCAGCCTAATTGACAAATTTTACACCCAAATTCAAATGTGGATCATATTGTAGTAGTAATATGTTTTTACAAAAATACCATGATCCATGAACTCGTACAAAGCACCAAATGAACCACGTACGTGCTTTTCAAAATAACCCAAATCAAGCAATTGCTGTAAAAATAAAAAATAAAAAAATCTGCCAAACGATAGAAATATGATTGATAAAAATCGAAATGCTCGATTACAACAGTCACTATTTAGACCCAATATAGGTTTCAAGGACCCAAACAAAGGCAAACAATTGTTGTATTTAAAGTACATGGTTAAGATTTAGCAGAGAAAGAAAAATGGTAGCAAATTTTACATTTACAGGAAAAGTAGAGGAAGTTAAAAAGACGAGTGTTAGAATCACTTAGTGACATTAAAAGGAAGAACAACATTTTGGATAAACTAGATTCTAAAGTTAGTTCACATTACATTAGTGTGAAAATTCGGGAAAGTTAAATGTTTAATTCAAAAAAGAAAAAAAGATCAAAGTAATTCTTTCTTTTTTACTTTTCCGGAGCTGAACCAAATCACTTTTGACCTGTGCACCATCCCACTTGATTAACAAAACCCTTTAATCATCGCTCCCCAAAAAGATATGAACTGTCCTAATTATACTCAATTACCATCCTAATTATGCCTCCAAACATCTCAAATTAAAAGCAAAATAAAAATAATAAAAATAATAAAAATAAATGAATGTGTTCAGAATATAGATGATGTTGGTGTTTTCTGCAAATTCACATATGATTTCATTCAGTACAAATTTTTGTATTTAGGTCACATCTCACATGCACACCAATAATAACAAAAACTAGTGTGAGAAATGTGCACTAGAAGTTCAAATAGGCTTTTAAGCCAAAACAAAAACTCTGCCACACCTGGAAAGAACATCGCCTTAATCAGAGGAAATTAAGCCACAGCTCAATCCAACCAAAGATTCTTCCAAAGATATGATCATTTTTCTCACTTTGGCTCCCAAGTCAAGTCACCGAGACAGCCAAACATATTTTTATAAGGGCTACAGCTCATGCAGGTTCAGAGAGTGAGCAGACACAGCAGCACAGACAAACAAAAAGAAGAAACAAAAGCCATTAAAGTAAAGCTTTGAATAAGTGGACACATTTTTTGCCATCTTCTTCATTTTGTCAGTTCCTCATGTTTCTGTATGAAAGCACACTTCCTCCCAAGAAAAAAAATAATTCAGAATTCAGATTGTGCAGATGAGGTTTTGGCTTAAATGCATCCTCTAAACTTGGCTTTACTTGATCAAATGCAAACATAAATTTTTGCTTCTGAAACTCAATATAAAGTTGAATTGAAACCCAACTGATTTTTTATGTAGGCAGAAGCTGTACTGGACTTGCGGTCTTTGTAGTGACCCGTTAGAGAAAAACTTGTATATCACGGGGATATCACTGTTTTGCTATTTCCAATTAAGTGTGTCCCGTCATGCGTGATAATAATTTCACATAACAAAGCGTGATTGGATGTAAATAACAAAATAATATTTTCACCGTAACTCATTCTCCACCATTTATTGAACTCTGAGTTAGATATGAAAATAGAATGGTTTTGCAGAGCTGCAGGGAAACCTCAAACCAAGGAGCTTTCTTTGTGGTGAAATATTGTATGGGAACTGTGTTTTACACCAATTGGGGGCATGCCTGATTTGCTATGGATAAAAGTAGTTTAATGATAGGAGGGGAGGTACCACTCTTGTTGCACAAATTTATTGCTCTCTTTAAGAAATGGCACCAACGATTTTGAGAAAATTATTTTCCATTTCTAAGGTTTTGATAAATAACTTTTGCTAAAGTAAGTTGTCCACACATGTACAAACAACAACAGACAACCTTGTGACCCTAGCATTCAGTAATCTTGTTGTATGTTTTGTGGTATGCTTGGCAATGAAATAGGTTTTTTTTTCTTTTTTTCTTTCCGAGATGTCCTGTTTCTTTTTCTTTTTTAGTAAATAGTACCAATAATAAAGTTGAAATAAATGAGAGTATGGGTTAGTCAAGGCTATGGGAGACAGAATTTCAGACTCTTTCGTACAAAGTGTTGAATTAGGAGAGTTCTTAGCCTGTTTGCGTGTGAAAACATTGCAGAAAAAATGGTCGATTTGTTTTGGTAAGACCTGGCAGCCAAATGGGCAAAACAGAGAAGTCTGAAGCCTACTTGTTTGTATTTACACACTGATAATTATCTTATAAATAACTCAATAATATCAACAACGAGGTTTAGTCGAATAAAAAAAAGTGTTTTAACTTACAGATCAGTAATTTTACATTCGAACTTCTAATGGAAAAATCTTTTAACGGTATTCAAAAGAGGAGTCTAATAGCATGATGAGTGTATTGTTTATGAGATGTTTTGCTAGGCTACAAAGTGGGTTGGCTATACGGTAGATTACTCTGTTTGGTAAATTAAAATGAAACAAGGGATGTGCCTAATTTCTGTGAGCAAGCCACTGACTGATTGATTGATTGATAGATGGAAGGACTGATCGAAATTGAAGTAACCCTGCCACTCTCTTACTAACTTACCCTCACATGACCATTGGAAACATAGGATTGACTGGACTCTTCGGCCCAATTATGCAAGTACATGAATTGATAAAATATTCCTTTGGGTGTTTTTTTCCTTTTTTCCTCTTTGATTATGTTTACATGCATAACCAAAAGGTCAACCACCAAAAAAACAAAAAAACAAAACGAACGAAAAAAAAAAAAAAAAAAAAGGCTTAATGGCTTATTATGTATGTCCTGTTCTTTTCTACTTATCTCAGATTACCACATGTGTTTGCAAACGGCTTAAAGTACCCCCAAACGTTTAAAAAACCGTCTCACGTTATCCTTTCTGTCAGTTTTTTTGAAGTTCCGTTACGAACGTTACTGTTTATCCCCCCAAAATTCCAGAACAGCAGCCCATCCCCTTTGTTACTGTTTATCACTTATTTACCCTCCAAAACTCAGAAATTTCTCATAACCAACACAACTAGCAGTAAGAACAGCTCGAGATGTTGAAAAACCATACCTGGATCGAAGCAAATGATGCTCAGAATCGTCCGAACGAGCGATGGAGATTTTGGGTAAAAATCGGCCAATTTCTTGCTTTTTTTCGGCGATCCAGACGGCGGTTGGTAGCGAATGAGATGTGAGGGTGGTAGTGGACAACGTGCTGGTTCTTTTGATACCCATGTCGTCGCTTGGGGTGGCCGGAGGATAAGATGGCAGCCCAAAAACTGGTCGGATGAACAGTAACAAAGGGGATGGGTTGCAAACACATGTGGTAATCTGAGATAAGTTGAAAAGCACAGGAAGCATGTACATAATTAAGCCAAAAAAACAATGACGATCAAAAGAGCAAAGAAAGAAGGTGAAAATGAGAAAAACATACAAGAAAGAAACACATCGATGACCCATCTTGGAGTTTGTGGGCTGACCAGAGGGCCAAGAATTGGCTTTATCTTGCTCCTTGGGATAGCCCACCTCCAACCCATCGGACCTCACTTCATGCCACTGTTTATTATATGCTTCCCTTTGCTTTGGGTTTTGGGCTCTCAACGCCCCATGAAATTTCTTGAGGAGGAATTCTATTGGGCTATACTGAGGTTAGTAAAAAAAGAGAAGAAGAATATGAGGACAACTTGATCCAATTGTAAAATGACTTTAATAGTCTACATTATAACTTTAAATTTTTTATTTTTTAGTATAATTTTTAAAGAGAACAATATGAGATGAGAGAGTAAGAGCAATTGCCACGGCTGGCGACACCCGCCAGTGAAAGCAACAGGCTAAGAAAGAAAGCATACATTAGACATTGGCAACTAAATTTGCAATTCCAAATATGTAATCTAAAAGAAGCCAATTCCTTTTGTTGGTTGAATTTAACAACAATGGTTGGAGAGTATATTACATCCCTCAATATATATATATATATATATTCCATTAATGTACATACTTCTCATGCTTCAAGTTACATGAAATTTGAATTTGGGTACTTTAAAGCCATAAGGTATTTAATTTAATTTAAGCCAAGTGCCAACTCAAAACTTCATCCCACCTTTCATGTTCCTTTCATGTTTTCACAAATTTTTTATGCTCACCATCATAATATTTTGGCCTGGTTGCGGTTCGGTTACTACAACTTTTCAATAAAATTGTGAATCGACCGACATATTACGGTATGGTAAAAAGAAGAACTATGAACCGACCGACATATTGCGTTATACCGCAATTGTCGGTATAGGGAACAACATAACTTTACAGAACTTTCTATCAACAAAAAAAGTGTTTGCTCGTGTTTAAAAATATTGTTGAAATAAGCAGAACTTTCTATCATCATCAATGATTCTTTAACTCATATACGGAGAGAATGAACTTTATTATTAAAAATAATCCAAGACAATCCACAAATATGCTAATGCACAATTAATCAACTAAATAGTTGATTGCAAGCTAGAGATTATCTCGGCTAACCCACTAATAACAACCTAACAAAATTACCAACACAACCGATGAGTTTGCAATATTAATTGAAACCGATGTTCCTACTAGATAAAAGTTTAATTATTCACTAAATATTCAAATGATATTTCTTCACGGCCAAGATTTAAAAAAAAAAATCAACAACAGAGGAAACTTCAAAGAGATTTGTAGAGAATACATTTCATTAGTAATACATTCAATCAAAGCCTAGGTGAGTCCCACAGAGAGGAAGAAGATGAGAGAGAAGGGAAGAATAAAAAGAAAAAGAAGAAGAAAAGAAGAAGAGAGAACAAAGAAGAGAGAATAGAGAAAGATTCATCTAAAAAATGAAGTCCTAGCCTTTGTACGTTAATATAAAAATATTGATAAGTATTTATTTTAATAATTAATTATTTTATATTGCGGTTTGCAATATATCACATTATTTGGATATGTAGAACCACATATTAAAGTTGGTTCTATAAATCGCATATTGTGGTCAATTTTCGTGATAATTCGATTTAAATGCGTTAAAACCTCAATCAGTATTTTCGATCTACCCTACTATCACATGTTCCTAGACCATTCCCCATTTTAAAGCAGAATAATGTTAGAGAGATTATCTTCTTTTTTTTCTTTTTTTTTCATTACATAATAAATCAACCAAAAACTGCTGTTGTTTCTTTTCAATCCAAAACACATACAAACAAAAACTGTCCTGATAATAATTGACACATATTCCATTTTCTGTACAACTGCTGCTAACATACACAATTTGTGAAATTTTCCATAATCGGAAAAAGAAAAAGCATCGACAACTAACGTGCGCCGGGGTGTGTAGTATAGTTGGCTCATTAGTGTGTTCTTTATGAAGTAAGGTAATATTAAGATAAGAAGAAACTAAACTAGTCCCATTTCGCGCTCTCTCCTTCCTTTTTCCGGCAAAGCCTCTTCATTTCTCTTAAACCATTGTCAGAGTACGGTACTCTCTCTCCCTCTCTCCCTCTCTATGAGATTATTTTATCTTGGTTCATGTTCCACATGGAAATAGATACAGACTGTAATGGCTATCTGAATCATATGGTTCCATCAAGATAATGAGCTTGGCGTTTGCTAGTTAGTTGCAGAGTTTCAGGAATTCTTAGGGTTCTAAGAAAGACTCTGTTTTAGTGACGTTGTTTTGGTCAAGAAGAAATTTTTGGTTATTTTCATATGGTTTGATCAAGAGATGACGAGCTTGGATTTTGTTAGTCAGGTGCAGAGTATCATGGATCTGGTGCAAGAAACTGTTTTGATGAGCTTGGTTTAGTCAAGGTTGAATCTTTTTGGGTATTTAGATAAGAAAAAAGTGGTTTGTGCATATCTTTCGTTTTCTTTGTCATATACCCGAGTTTTCTAAACTGGCGTTTTTATTTGTTTCTGGTTCTGAAAGTACGGATGCTTGTAGCTTATGCACAGAAATATGATGAATTGGGTTTTTCTTCTGCTTCTTCTTCTCTACAAGCCGGTTTGTAATTGTTTATTTATTTTCTTGATTCAGGTTTGTGATATATTTTCATCGTGTTTGTATCTGAAAATGGGGGCCGGAAGGAAAACAGAGACCTTTACTGCACCGCCTAATCAAGGCCTGGCAACCTACACTACATCCATGAGAAATTTGGTCAAGAAACATCTCGGTGGAGTCATATTTGGTTGCAAGGACATCACAATCGATGAATGTCTATCTAAACAACTCTTTGGTCAGTGTTCTGAACTTTTTTGCACGTTTTGGTATTGAACTTCATGTCATGTGCACCAATTTGTTCTTATCTATGTTGTTCCCAGTGCATTGCCATCTTCACCTTAAATTCCCTTTTAATGAGCCCCAAAGTATTGTAGCCTGATTTATCGAATACACAAAACTTTCTGCAAATAATGAACTTTTTGTCTGTTGATTTTGTGCACTACTACTGCTCATTTCATGTTATAGTTTTAGTTTTGGGGCCACGAACTCATGAGATGAATTCAATTTCTTTCAGGCTTACCAGCTGCACACTTTCTATATGTACAGAACATTTCTCCTGGCTTGCCACTTTTTCTCTTCAATTACACTGATAGGAAACTTCATGGAATCTATGAGGCTGCTGGCTATGGGCAAATGAATATCAATCCCTGTGGATGGACCACTGATGGTTCAAATACTACGCCATTTCCTGCACAGGTATTAAATAAAATTTTCTTCAAAATTGGTATAATTGTCCTGATTTATAATATCATCTTAGGAAAACAGGTTCTTAGTCAAGAAAAGGATTTTATACTGATATATTATGTTTCTACATTAAGGTTAAGTTCCGTGCTCGGCTGCACTGCCGGCCACTGCCTGAAAGTCAGTTTGGAGAGATAATTGCCGACAACTACTACAATGAGTTTCATTTCTGGTTTGAGCTTGATCACGCTCAAACAAGTAAGCTCACATCTAAGTTAGCATCTGGAGCAGTTGCTCCAAGTACTCCTGCACTACAGAGATATAAGGGAGCATCTGTGGCAGTTTCTCCAAGTCCTTCTGTACCTCAGAAATCTAAGTTAGCATCTGTAGAAGTTGCTCCAAGGACTTCTGCACCTCAGATATCTAAGTTAGCATCTGTAGGAGTTGCTCCAAGGACTTCTGAACCACAGAAAACACTGAATTGGAGAAGTTGTTTTGTGGCTCTTCCCTCGCATGACACAATAGAGGAACCTGAGTGGCTTGAACAACTTACATCAGAGACTGAGGATTTGAGTAATTCATGTCAGAATTTGGATGTCCCAATTTCGTTTGGAAGATACGATCCATTCAAACCCCAATTAGATGTGAAGGATGCTGAACAAGTGGGGCAGGAACGTGTATACAAAAAACTGAAAGATTTAGCGATCCATGATAATCTTAACAATGAATGTCAAGACATGTCATTGTCAGGAGATGTTGAAGATAGTGTTGCAGGAAGTTCTCACTCCTCGTTTGATCAAAGAAGCAGAGAGAGTCTTTGCTCCTTGTCTGCACAGAAGAGTGGAGAGATCCCCCTATCCTTGTTTGAGCATCAGGCACTCATAGCTAAGGTACATGATGATTTAGTAGTTTCATAAAATATAAGTTCTAATGCTAGGTATCCCTGTTTGTTTTCTTTTTAACAACCACAATTATGTATTATATTATTCGTATCAGTTGATTGAAGAGGTGGGAGAGCTAAAGGCTTTTAAGACAGAACAATCTCAGAAGATTAGCTATTTGGAGTACAAGCTGGTATTTAATACAATGCTAAACATTGCTCTCTCTGTTTCCTTACTTTATGTGTTGGCACTGAATTGGTCCAAGTCATTTTGATTCAAACATGAAGAAATAAAGCCTTTTTCTCATCATTGATCTTACTTTCTTCTTACTTCGGCATTTCAGGAGCAGGCAGATACTGAAATTCAACGCTTGAAAGTTTGGTTTGAAGATTGAATCTGAGTTAGTGCACTACTTGTGAGCATTAAGTTGTATGCTTTGAGCTATGCTTGTGGATGCATAGTATACCACTGTAAAGTTTCATTCTCTCTTGGGCTGTATGAGTTAATTAGTAGCAATGATAGAGTTGACATTATATGATGTATGAGTTAGTCAAGGATTAAATGTGCTTTGCTCTGGGGCCTTTGGTAGACATGGCAGGCTACTTACAATTAGAATTCTTATTAACCCATTAATACTATGAGCTTTTGCTTGTCTACAAGTGCCTAAGCTTTGATTAACGTTTTTTTCTTTTGGTCGAAAAAGCTTTGATTAACTTGATCAACAAGTTAATCGACTTCTTATCGTGGGTATTAGGTTGTAAATGACACCATTGCAACTACAAGTTCTCACAATAATGTCATAACAAGTTTCAACATATATGAAGGATTAAGGAATCATCCTTTTCTTTTTCCTGTTGATAAGAATCAAGAATGCATGAGGCAAAAGAACCGGGCTTTATTTTGCTACTTGGAATAAAACCTCTGGTATTTGGACCAAATCACGTTCTTCAGTATTTGGGCCTCGCTTCATGCAAATTCTCCATTTGCATTTGTCTTTTTGGTCAAATATGTGCTTTTTCTTTTTTTGCTTTTCCTCCTGAGGAGGTTTTGCTGAAATAATAAATTCAGAAGTTGCCATAGTGCACCATCACTTTTACCTCTTGGTTGGAAATCAGGCTAAAAAATCAAAACATGATTGGGCAAAGTGGCACTGCAATTTGAAACATGCAGTCTAAATGAAGCCAATTCCTTGTTTTGGTTGAACTGATACCTTAAAGCCAGAGGGACTACAATTTAATATAGAGCTATATAAGCTAATGCCAGCTCAGAACTTCCTCTCACCACTCCTTTTCTTTTCCCATTTGTCGACAATTATTTGATGCTCACAACATCATACTATTTTGGCCTACATCGATCACATGGGACACTCATATGTTCCAAGATCATTCCCCATTTGACAAAAAGGAATAATGCTAGAGATAATTTTTTTTAATGACATTGCTTTGCTTTTTATTATTATTTTAATAAAAGTGATATTAGATATGGAGATTTAGACACATGACTTCAGGTGCACGAATAATTATTTTTAACCACTTAAACTACAAGCTCCTTTGCAATTAACCACTTTAGCTATAGGCCAATGTACAATCATATTGCTTTGGTTTTTTTTTTTTAAAGAATAAAATAAAATACAATAGTCTAAACTATAAGATGGAGAGAGTTTTTCAAACACATTAAGCGAGTTCGAATTTGAAACTACTGACTAGCAAATCAAAACCCTTTTTCGATAGGCTAGACCCGCTAGCCATATTGTTTTGTTAAGTGGTAAGTTAATTGTTAAGTGGTAAGTTAACATACACAATTTGAAAATTTAAAAACTTGGCATTAGTAGGAATTCTCTTCCAAGTGTTGGCTTTCAAGTCTGAATCTCCCACCTCGTTTGATTAAAAAAGTTAAAACATTGCGAATTCACAAATTTGCTATAAAAAGTATTGAGCACTAAAGTGCGCCGGGGGTGTAGTTAGTTGGCTCATTTACTGTGTGCGGTTTTACAAGACAAGCTCAAGCTCGTTCTATTTCGCGCTCTCGCATTCCTTTTCTCGGCAAAAAGCTTGTTCATCTTCCATAAACGCTCGTCACAGTCACAGTACGGTACGCTCTCTCTCATTTGTTTCTCTCTTGGTTCGCATTCTACATAGAAAGTGATACATTTTAATGTACTGGGTATCTGAATCATATGGTTTGATCAAAATGACCAGCTTCGCTCTCGTTAGCTAGTTGCAGAGTTCCATGGATTCTTAGGGTTCTTGGTCTAAGAAACTGTTTTGATGACCTTGGCTTGATAAAGCTAAAAACTTTTTGGTGATTTCGATAGATTAAAGTAGTTTGTGCATATCTTTCGTTTTTTCTTTCATGAATAACTCGAGTTTTCAATTTCAAATGGCGTTTTTAATTGTATATTGGTTCTGAAACTGGGGATGCTTATTTCTTTTAGCTGTTTTGTATTTACTGTGTTTGCTCATGGCACAGAAATAGGATCATTGGGTTTTGGCTGCAATCCTGAACATAATTATGGCTTGGCTTTGTTGCTTGATTCCATGGGTTTTATGCATTGCTTTAAATTTCCTTTTCATTTGTATAATAACTAAAATGCAATCGAACAAAAAGTAAATACCTTTAGCATAGTAGACAATAGTTGGACTTGGTGATAGTACTTAAACACAATGTAAGCATCATTTTTGCAATATTACTGAGTACAATTTATATATGAAAATTACTTATAAAGGGTATATCCACGCACAAATTAATTATTGCATGACATACCGTACTTGCACACTATGTGTTCGAAAGCAAGTTCTTCATACTACGAATTTAAACTCAGCTCCTCTAGAGCCTTACATTAACTGGTTTCTGAACTAGATAAGAGACTGCACTTTTTTATTTTTTCTTTATGCTCTCAATTTTCCAATGTTTTATTCTTGTTTTGTGAGCCTTCCGTTACATATTGTTTCATTCATATTGATCATCTTATTCTTTTTAAAGAAACAAAATGATGAGATTGATTGATTTCTTCTTGTTACCCATTCAAGTGCTTTCAGCATTGGCTTGTCATAAAAGGAAAGGAATCTGAATAATGAATTCTATTTCAGATTTTGTTCACTATGCCTTTATGCTTAAAACATTTTAGTATATACATTTTTTCAGAGGAAAAATACAAAAAGAGGAGTAAGAACTAGTACTCAGGATAAGATTCCTCATAGGCCTTCTATCTCCACGCGGCGTAAGTCTGTCAGCCTTTCAACAAAACAGTTAAAACAAACCAGCAAGAAATGCAGAGTGATTGTTGTATTATGTAGTCGTTTCATAACTTTACTCATTTGAAAAATTTCGCTGATTTCCGATGCATTTGATGGTCCTTTTGGGCTGATTAATATTCCCCTCCTCCCATTCCTGTTTCATTCATTTGGTGATAACCTGTATTGGATCACATATGACTCTGTCTATAGCACATGACCTTTATTTCTTTTTCAGGTTCATGATATAATTTCCTCCTCTTTGCATCAGAAAATGGGGGCTGGAAGGAAAACACAGACCTTTACTACACCTCATACTGAAGACCTGGTACCCTACGGTGCAAACATGAGAAATTTGAGGAAGAATCACCTTGGTGGAGTCATATTTGGTTGCAACAAACTCACAATGGAAGAATGTCTTTTGAAACAACTCTTTGGTCAGTGTCCTGAACTTTACTGCATGTTTTGTTCCTAATTTTTGCATCTCCCGTTTTCAATTTTTAAATTGGTTATTGTATTGTTTTTAACATTTAAACCAGTGGTGTAGTGATATTTGGTATTGAACTTCATCTGCACCGATTTTTCTTCTTTCTGTAGCAAGTGCATTGCCATCTGCACCGTTTTTTGGCCTGCTGCTTCCACCTTAGAGTCCCCTTTTTAATGAGCCCCAAAATATTGTAGTTAGCTTTATTCTGTACACAAAACCTTCTTCAAATAATGGACAATTTGTCTGTTACTTCTGTGCACTACTACTGCTTATTTCTTGTTTTAGTTTTCTTTTCATTCCATGAATTCTATATTCTCTCAGGTTTACCAGCTGCACACTTTCTCCATGTAAAGAATATTTCTCCTGGCTTGCCCCTTTTTCTCTTTAACTATAGTGATAGGAAACTTCATGGAATCTATGAGGCTGCTAGCCACGGCCAAATGAACATTAACCCATATGGATGGACTACTGATGGTTCAGAGAAAACGCAATTTCCTGCTCAGGTATTTAAATAAAAGTTTCTCATAATTGATCTAATTGTGCCGAGTTATAATTTCATCTTAGGAAAGACAAGGTCTTGGTCAAGGAGATGCTTTATACTGATATATTCTGTTTTCTACATTAAGGTTCAAATCCGAGTCCGGCTGCAGTGTCAACCCCTGCTTGAAAGTCAGTTTAAACCGATAATTGTTGACAACTACTACAATCAACGTCATTTCTGGTTTGAGCTTGACCACGCTCAAACAAGTAAGCTGGTATCACTGTTAGCATCTGTGGTGGTCACTCCAAGTACTTTGGTACGACAGAATACATTGAAGTGGAGAAAAAATCTTCAAGCTCTTCCCTCAGATGACAGAATAGAAGAATCTGAAGGGCTTGAACCACTGACTTCAGAATCCAAGCATGTGAATCATTCAAGTTCGAATTTGGATGCCACAGTCTTATTTGGAAGCAACAACTCATTCAAACCCCAACTAGATGTGAAAGAGGCTGAACAGTGGAGCAAGAACTTATATACATGAAACTGAAAGAGTTAGCACTTCAAAGTAATCTTAAGAATGAAGGTCAAGACCTGTCTTTATCAGGAAATGTTGAAGATCGCACTGTCTTGAATGAATTGACCTTGGAGGACACAGACAATCCAAGGGAGCAATTGGGTTTTGAGGAGAAGGGAGAAAGTCCTCCCTCCTTGTCTGAACAGAAGAGCGGAGAGAGTCCTTGCTCGTCTGTGCAGAAGAGTGGAGAAAGTCCTCAATCCTTTTCTGACAATCGGGCAATCATAGCTAAGGTAAATGATCATCTTAGTAGTCCACAAACAATCTTAGCTAATGTTAGGTATCCCTGCTAGTTTTCATTATATTTGCAACCACTCTCTTAAATATTCAGTTGGTTCAAGAGGTGGAGGAGCTAAAGGCTTTTAAGGCAGAACAATCTATGAAGATTGGTTATTTGGAGCATAAGTTGGTACGTAATACAATACTCTGTTTGTTAAACATTGCCATATTTCTGTTTCTTTACCTTATTTTTTCTGCCGAGCCATCTGAGAAGCCTTTAATAGCATGCATTAAGGGTGCATTTTCTCATCATTGGTACTGAATTGTTCCAAGGAATTTTGATTAACACATGAAGCAAGAAAACCTTTTTTTCTTCGGACTTTTTGCTTGAATTGATCACAGACAAAGCTTCAGTTCCAATTTATGTTATTATTTCTGTCTATTGTTTCCATTTGTTATGAACCTTTTATTATATTGAAAATCTAAATAACAATTCAATAAAACATAATGATAAAGACTGCATATAATATTATAGGCTCTTTGTTTGTCTTTGTTAGTTTCTTCCTCAATCTACGAGGTTGTCGGATAAGAATGCTAGGTCCAGAGTCGATGACTGTGGTGTTTGAATGACATAGGCTTTGTTTAACTTTTGTTTGCAGAAGCATACTCTTGTGAGGAGTTGGGGTTTTTAAGCATCTCCATTTTGTTTTCGTCAAGTTGTTGAAAGTTTGGTAGAGAACCGTGCAGTTATGTTTATAACAATTTCATCTTTCTGTGAGTTAGGGCTTTCCTGTTGTATTGGCCTGTTAGCCAATTATATTAACTTAAGTCGGGAATAAAAGAAAAGATAGATTAATCTGGTCTAGGGAAGGTTTTCGTTGGACATCAAAGTCATAGTATGAAACTGTTAAGTTATGATGATTAAAAGCAACATATGGTACTTGTTTTATTCTTGCTGTTGGCCAAAAAGGGCAAGAGCGGTCTTGTAGAAAAACTTATGATATTCATTTCTTTTGACTTTAAAACTTGCTCCGTGCCCTTATGAAACCATGAACTGTATAATTAATGGTGCATAATCAACTTAATTGATTCTTATTCCTTATTTCTTCTTACTTTGGAATATATACTGACATTTTAGGAGCAGGCAGCAATGGAAATTAAGCACTTAAAAGTTTGTTTAAAGTTGGAATCTGAGCCTACACCTTCCATGTTGGAATCTGACGAGAAGGTTGCTGAATCATGTGATCTGCTGCCTCCTGATCCTAACGAGTCAATGTATCTAGTTGGAGGATATGATGGCGACTCATGGTTATTGGCATTGGATGCTTATTATCCTTATCAGGATATGATAAAATCTCTGAGACCAATGACCTCTGTTCGTTCATATGCCTCTGTTGCACAATTGAATGGTGATCTTTACGTAATTGGTGGTGGCAATAGTCATCTGTGGTACGATACAGGTATTAGCTCTTAGTCAATTTGAAATTTCTTTCTTTCTGGGATTAATACCTTCCTGACATTTTTTGTTGGTCATTCTCTGAAGTTGAGTCATACTGCCCTGCTACTGACGAGTGGAAGTTGTGCCCTTCCTTGAGAGAGAAAAAGGGAAGCTTAGCTGCAGCTACTACGCATAACAAGATTTTTGTCATGGGTGGTGGGAATGGAGTTGATTGCTTTTCAGATGTTGAGATGCTTGATTTAGATGTTGGACGATGGATTCGTACACAGTCAATGTTACAAAAGGTTAAATATTAGGACAATGAAGTCCTTCCTAACTTCACATATTTCTTGTCCTTGAGGCAAAATATGATGTGTTTTCCTTGGCAGAAAATTTACCTCATGGTTCTTGATTTGTGCTGCTTTTATTTTTCCAGCGGTTTGCTCTTGCTGCAGTGGAACTCAATGGTGTGCTTTATGCGACTGGCGGATATGATGGGCATAGTTATTTGAAGTAAGATATTAAATCTCTTTTCTATTGTTTAATTTTTCTGTGGGTAGATATTGACATCTATATACTCCATGAACTGCATATATGTATTGTCGCTCAATCTAAGGATAAGATACCAACTTAAAAGAAGCAAATTATATCTATAACAGCATTAAGGGCAGTAGAAGAATAGAATACCTGCATCTTAAATCCATTATTGTATTCTGAAACTTTGTTATATCCGTGGCTGACTTGAAATGTTCATATCTCAGGTCTGTTGATAGATTTGACCCCAGAGAACACAGTTGGACAAAAATTGCATCTATGGATTCGAATAGGGGTTGCCATTCACTGGTTGTTTTGAATGAAAAAATGTAAGTATATTTCTTTAATTTTAAAAGAACTACCGAGTATCAATGCATTTAAGAGTGACAAACTTGTCATTAGGCTTCAAACCCAAGTTTCACTTTTCTTTTGTCGAAATTTGCTGTTTAACCTCTCACCTTCAAATGGACGTTTACTTTTGCAGATATGCTCTGGGCGGCTTTGATGGAAGTGCAATGGTCCCAAGTGTGGAAATTTACGATCCACGGCTTGGGTCATGGATGCCAGGGGAACCGATGAATCACTGTAGGGGATATTCGGCGGCTGCCGTCGTCAAGGACGCCATATATGTAATTGGAGGGGTGAAAGATGGTGACAGCATAGCAGAAACAGTAAGTTTACGTGTTGCCCATGCTTTCCAATTTCCATCTTATGGACAGGACTTTTTTGGGTAATTTAGCAGTTTGTATGTAATGACAGGTTGAATGCTACAAGGAGGGACAAGGTTGGCGGGAGATGACCACGAGGGCTATTAGCCAAAGGTGCTTCATGTCTGCCATTGCTTTTTCGACCTGAGCTGATCATGCAATGTTGCATGCTGTTAAGACCATTTCATTTCATAGCGGAGAGTCTTTTGGTTAATCGAACCCGTTATAAAAAAAGAGCATGTACATACTGTTGATATTTAATGCATAGAGGAAGGGCTTCTGTTATCAAACGTGGAAAAATATTGGATGAAATTCAAACTCATCGGAATTTTAAAACTTTTAAAGTCGATTTGTTTGGTGAAAAGAAAAGTTATCACGAAAAAAATTAACACAAACAATTTAATACATGAAAATTTATATTTAAGTTTCTTTTATTTGAGCAAGAATTACATGTAGATTTCGCAGACATGCAATTGGAGGTAATTTGTAAATGTAATTTTTACATCTCAAATTTGCATCTTACCATTGGAGATGCTCTAAGAATTACCTCCAGAAAGGGATTCCGCGATTAGTTTCACCGATTTAGTGCAATTTTCAGATTAGATAAATACATTCTTATTCTAATCACAGTAAAACAAGCCACTCAATCTTTACTTAACCATCGAAAGATAAACATCCTTTTCTCGGCAAAGATATGTAAGCTCATGTCTTGGACCCCAACGTTTGACAGAAGAAACATCCTCAACCTCAGACAAACATTCCATACAAATACAGACCCTAATCGTAAAAGAAAATGCTTTTGGGGTTTTGTAAAAGGGTGCGGTAAACATAAATATTCTGACGTCATCACAGCCTCCAAAATGGTTTAAATCCAAGAAGACAAACTGAGTTGATTCGTTGTCTTCATTTACAGCCATTTTCAGCCACAACCTACTTTCAGCTGAAATGTTATGAAGAGTGATATAGCATGGTATACCAACCGGCAGTCCCGCAACAAACCGAAGAGGATTTTCATACTCATTGTCAGGTATATCCAGCTCTGCCTTCATGTGCTTGAGTCTACCACACAACACAAGTTGCTTGAGGGAGAAGCTTTCAAGTACCCTTCTAATGAGAAGGGGGTTAAAGGAAGCTTCATTGAGAGAAGAAGAACCAAATTCGGATGATAATTTTCCGACTTCAATTATAAACCTGGATGGTTCAACAGATCCATCTCTAAGGAGATATTCCACCCGTGACATCATACTAGAGAGCTTTCTCAAGGTTCCAAGATTACAGCAAACTTCCACTTTGGACAATCTGAGCATACAAGTCACAAGTATCAGCTCCAAGATATGTAACTCCTCCTCTTCAGACAATCTTATAAACGCACTCTTCAGATCTCTAAGCCTCCTGTCCAGCTTTCCCAATACTAAGTCCAATTCTCCCATTCCACAAGGAAAATGTGTTGAAGACAGGAAGTTCACCCACGCCTTTGTAAGCAGTTTCACTATCTGGATATATTGCTTCGTAAAGGAAAATACACCAGCAGATGCATGCAAGTCAGAAGTAAATGTTGCCAACTCCTCCCTGCAACTTCTGCATGAAACCATTTTATAAAACAAATAAGCAAATAGGAAAAAATAAAATAAAAGAACAGGTTACATTGAGTAGTTCTTAACAAATATGGCACTCAACTAAAGGACATGAAACAGTGAATAGGAAATAAGCATATCAAATATGTCTAAGATTTACGGCCGTTTATAAGGATAAATATATAGTAGACATTCCTTTGGCCATGTAGGTCTAAGGAAGTTCCCATTAGGCAACTCAGTCTGCCACTAGATGCATGATCTCCAAGCATGTGTATCTTTCTGGTGTCTGTAAGGTTAAATTAAAAGATCTTTGTGAGTAATGTACTCCATAACATAGGCTTTCACCCATTCAAAAGGAGGCCTGAAGGGGAAATTTTTGTTTCGCCTCGCTTTTTTCTTTACTGATTTAGAGAAATACAGATCATGTCAATGCAATGGATAATGACAGAAAATAATGGTACTACCTCAAAGTCCTCAGTACTTCATTCATAAATCCTGACAGTACAAGTGGCCAGATATCCTTCACCTTTGCAAGAATAACATTCATTGACTTGGTAACTTCATCATGCACGTCTAGCTGGTATTCTACAAGTGAAGTTCCTGCTTCCCTTGGCTTCTTTATTGTTGGAGACAAAATTTCAGAGGTTCCACCTGTCTTTTGGGGCAATGGCATTGCAATGGAACCAATTATCTCATTACTCGTAAAGGTTGGAACATTAGCATTAGGCAAGCATGGCTCCCCCACTTTGAAGTTGAACTCTATGGCATACGGTCCTGAGGATCTACTGCACTGAGACAAGTAATCCAAAAGGCTATTTTGATTCATAAGGTCACTCAAAGCCTGAGAAATCCTTCCCAGGTATGTAACTGCATAAGAAAATATTGTAGGTGGAATATTGCAATCACGTTCACGTGAAAGTGGAGCTGATATGGCCAGAACTAGTAAGGCGGCCACTCTCACACTATCAAAGCCCAACTTGCCATTAGACATTGGCTCCATCTGATAGAAAAGGAACAATAATTATCAACTTCTTCCAATAGAAATTACAGTCGCAAACAGCACAAAAGGTAACTAAGAAAATAATATAAACAAATTGAGAGTTCCAAGCCATTCCTAGATATAGAAAAGTTCCAAAGCCTGTAACACAACCTAAGCAAGAAAAAGTAAGACTCTGTATTATCCTTGGAGCTGTTCTATATCATGCTCTCAAATATTTTTTATCCATCATTCTGACCATGTACCACGATAAAAGCTGTATTCAAAAGAGATTTATTTTGCATTCAGCTCACAAACTATCACATGATGTCTTGAATCATTAGATTTGAATCAAACCTGTCAATAACACTTTTTTGTGTCACTAAGCAGGATTGAATTTCATTTTTAGCAGCCACCCAGGCTCACCAGGAAGTTGGGTGGTGGTATTTATCTATCTTAATGATCACATGACAGCATACATATATTGAGGCCTGCTAACCTGCGGAAAAACCTCCTCAATTATGCGGACCACAAACTTTCCATGATTTCGTCCAATATGAAACAAAACAGATAATACATCTGCTTCATCCTGGAAAAAAGCAATTTGAATTAGTAGAAGTAAGAATTGGCACACAAACAATGAAGTAAGAAAAAGAAAGACAGAACAAGTTATGAAATCACAAGTACATAGCCCAACAAAGCTATTCCTAGAAATTGCATGATTAAAATGACCAAACTCACACCATCATACTAGTTCCAAAAGCGAAAATCTGTAACTTTGATCAAGGGAAAAAATGGAAAGCTGACCTGTGGATGTCTTTCCAAATTTTCTAGAAGGGCATCAATAGTTAATCTAAACAACTTCAACTTTTGCAGCTTTGCCAATTTAAGTATTTTCCTTGCTGAAGATCTTACGAGGGTATCATTGTCAACCAGAGTGCCAAGAAACTGCAAAATCAAGTAACAAAACCATATTAAGCAATATGTACTTAGGCGGTTTCACAGATGTACCTGGTGCATAGAATTTCTAATGTACTTTTACTGATTTTTAATGTAGTCATTCCGTATAATTAGTTGATTAACAATGAACTTACAAAATTTCAGAACATTACCATATGCATGTGTGTTTCTTGCACTGTCAGACAGTCAAAGGTTGCCATTCGATGCATAGTTTCACAAGCTTGTAGCCGGACAAGAATTGAGTCATCATTCAGTACATCCATCAGTAAGTTTAAGGCTTCTCCAGCAAACTTGGCAGAGAGTATGGTCAGTGTACGCAGAGAATGACATGCAGCTTTTCTCACCTTCAGATTCACAAATAATTCTTAATTAGAAAGCATGCATATAGTAAAGTCCCTGTCACAAAGAGTAGATATATGTTACCTCATGGAATTCATCCTCAAGCCCATGCATGAAAGCTCCAGCAACACTTGACCCTGATGTTTCTAGTTGTTCATCAGAGCACTGAGCAAGAGATTTCTTTCCCTTCATGGTCACTAGAACTTTCTTTGACAGGGTTTGCAAAAGAATTTCCTCAGATACCATTTCTATCTTCCCAAGGGCACAAAAAGCTTCAACTCTAACCTCCATGCTCATGTCTCTCACCATTGAACAAAGCTACAAATATACACAATCCATGAGACATCAGGATAGGAACTCTACATGATGCTTTATACAAAAAATTTCCGACTCTCACTGAGACAGAATGATAGGAAGAGAATGTCCTACCATTCAACAATGCAGGGTTAAGGGTTGCGATTTCCTTAATGATCTCCTAGACAAAATTTGACCGGAACAAGTTAGTAAGACTCTTTGGACAAATATGTATAAGCACTAATGGTGAGTATGAGTTCAAGTCAGCACGAGCATTAGCAACTAAAGCAAGGAAGTTTATAACTTGATGACTGTTGAGACCAAAGCTCAATTTCATAGAGCAATGCCAAGATTGAAGTAGAATAAATTAAATAGGTCAATTATTATAAGACAGATAATATAATCAATAATAAGCTATTACTTTGACAAATACTTCATCAGACCAATATGCCTTCGTCTCCGACTTGCACGCCACCAGCATTAGACCCCAAGCACACACCTGTGCGTTCGTTCATGATGTGCAATACATAAAGCAAGTTAGCACACAAAAAGAGAAAAACAGAGAGAAATCAATTTTATTAAGAAAAACTCACCGTGCGAACTGCAGCCGATCTAACGCAATCTTCCATGTCGTTTAGAAGTTCAACTGCACGGAAGTAGCACCCTTCGATCATGTCAGGGTCCTCAATAACACCGTTCTTGCTCAAGCCAACAAGTCCGTCCAAAGCAACTTTCCTCACGTACGGATATGGATCTTTCGTAAACCCTAGAAACAGAGTGAATAACAAATGAGGCTGTACACCGAACCTGTCGGCGTTTCTGAGAAGCCATGGCCGTACGGAACGAGATGGACTGAAACAGAGCGAGGCGAATAAACGGTCGTCCAATTCTTCAATGCCGGGAGCTAGGACTCGGTTGCCCTCCGCAATAGAAGCGAGTGCGTCGAGAGATTCGGCGGCGACGCGGGTCGAATCGGTGGAAAGGAGCGAGTGGGAATAGACCGAG